CAGTTCCCGTATAACTCTCTCTTTCTATAAAAACCCATCTAACTCTCACCTTGGGGTCGTCCCTGAAGCAAAGGCGAGCTGACCCAGCCGGCTGGTCTGTTTACCCGCCTCCTCAATAAACCTCGCTGCTGGGCAGAGTTCTCTGGGCTGCACACCTGGGCAAAAGCCGGGTTTGGATGCAACACCTACACCTGCATGGGAGACCTGGAAGAAGATCCTGGCTCCTGGCTTCGGATTGGCTCAGGTCCGGCTGTTGCAGCCACTTGGGGAGGGACTCATCGGACGGATCTCCCCCTCTATCTCTCCTCCTCTCTGTATATCTGACTGTCCAATAAAAATTAATAAATCTTTTCTTTTTTGGAGTATGGGTCACATACTGTAGTAACGATATCTTAAATACATTGAGTTCAAATACATTGTCAAGAGTGTCTTTCTGCCTGTCTCTTACTGTCACACTTGTGTGATCGGCAGGGCCCTGGGCCGGAGCCACTCTGGCCACTGCATGGCAGGAGACTCAGGAAAAGGCTTTGGTTCCACCCAGGCCTGAGGGCACCCTTGGCACCCCGGGCTGCACCCCCTGCCCAGGCCTCTGAGCTAGTGAAAGCTGAGATGTACAGAGGCAGGGTGGGGGACCCCCCTGAGCACGCCTGCTGACTCAGCCAAAACCCTCGTCCACTTCTGTCCCCCTCCACTTCCCCTTTGCAGCTTGTTGACCTAACCACAATAGATTTGGCAATGACCTGGCACTGAGTAAACTTCCCTTTTGGGCAGGGCTGGTTGACCCCACACAGAGGCCTCCAAAGTGTCCCGGGGCTACCTTTGTGGAAACTTGCAACTTGGGGCCAGGTTCCTTCCCTCATGGATGGGCAGGTGGGAAGGACTGGCTGCCTGTGCCCTAAGCCCCACTCCAAATCGAGATGGTTAGAGGATGACCAGGAGTGGAAGTGCTGAATGAGGGCTGGGAAGGCGGAAGGGGAAATCAGAACGGACTCCCCAGGGCAGGCTGCGCGCCAAGAAGAAGGAACGGGCAGGAATGATGCAAGATGCTGGAACCAGTGGATGGAGGCTCTCCAGCTACCTACTATTTCGCCCCCTCCCCCCCTTCCTGCATATCAGCCTTTCAAATGGAATGTAAAGAAATACAGGGAAAGAACCAAAAACAGCAGAAGAGGCAGAGGAAGGCTAGAGGGGGGAAGGGGCCAGGATGCTGGCTGGGGAGGGAGGAGCCATGGGGGGGGTGGTTCTGGCAGGGGAGTGGGGGTAGACCAGGAGACTCTGCCCAAGGCAGGAGGCAGCTGCAGCCCACGTACTCCCTGCGGGGCCCTGTCTGCCCCTGCGGGGCCCTGTCTGCCCCTGTGGGGCCCTGTCTGCCCCGGTGCCTATGGGTCTAGGGGAAAAGCTTGTCCCAAGCACAACCTGCGCCTTGGGGTGCTCAGCCAAGCACAGTGCCTGCCCTGCCAGGTGCTCAAACTGTGTCTTTGTGGTTGATTTGTCTTTCTGTTTGTTTAAGATTTATTTATGGGTCCAGCACGATGACCTAGTAGCTGGGGTCCTCACCTTGCTTGCACCAGGATTTATATGGGTGCTGGTTTATATCTTGGCTGTCATGCTTCCCATCCAGCTCCCTGCCTGTGGCCTGGGAAAGCAATAGAGGATGGCTCAAAACCTTGGGACCCTACACCCGTGTGGGAGACCTGGAAGAGCTCCTGGCTCCTGGCTTCGGATTGGCACAGCTCCAGCCGTTGCAGTCACAGCAGAGTTCAGGCAGGGGACCCATACAAGAATCACCTCCAAAGCCCCCGTCAGCAGGGCTGAACCTGGGAGCTGGGAATGCCAACCGAGTCTCCTGCTGGATGGCGGAGACCCAGACACCTGAGCCATCCCTGGCGCCTTGCAGGGTCCCCCTTAGCGGGAGCCAGGAAGACAGCACCTGCTGAATTGACCTCACCCCCCCCGAGACCCTTGCAGACGTGCCTGTAATGCAGGAGTTCTGAGCTATGGCAGTCACCCCATTTCAATAGGACAAGCTCCTCGCCCCGCAGTGGGAGCCCGCCGCTGTGGGTCTTACCGGACCCTCTCTACGTACTGTGGTGTTGCCGATACATGCAACCCCGGGTTCAACTTCAATTTCTCTTACAGCAGAGAGAAAAGAAGTGACACGGATGTGGTCACTGTCCCTGAAAGACCCCAGAGCAGTGTTCATGTTTCTGCGGCGTGGGTGGCAGAAAGGAACCGAAAACAGAGAAGTAGAAACCCCAGGAAGGGGAGGCAGCTGCTGTGTGCTTATTCCACAGCAGTGGCCACCTGACGGGCCTCGCGGCTTAGCCCAGTGGTTCACTAACAGCTGGGCCTGGGCCAGGTGGAAGCCAGGAGCCAGGGGCTGCGTCGGGGTCCCCCATATGGGTGATAGGGGCCCGAGCACTTGGAATATGCTCTGTTACTCTTCCCAGGAGCTTTCGCAGGGAGCAGGCTCAAAAGCCGAGCTGTCAGGACTCGGACACGGCTTCGCAGGAGGCAGCGTTACCTGATACTCCTTAGCACTGGCACTCTGCCTATTTCTTTCCACTCTTTAAACCTTCTTGTTAGGGCCCGGCGCTTGGCCTAGTGGCTGAGGTCCTAGCTTTGAGTACACTGGGATCCCATAAGGGCACCAGTTCTAATCCCGTCAGCTCCACTTCCCTTCCAGCTCCCTGCCTGTGGCCTGGGAAAGCAGTGGAGGACAGCCCAAGGCCTTGGGACCCTGTACCCGCATCGGAGACCCAGAAGAAGCTCCTGGCTCCTGGCTTCGGATCAGCCCAGCTCCAGTCATTGCAGCCGCTTGGGGAGTGACTCAGTGGACAGAAGATCTTGCTCTCTGTCTGTCCCCCTCTCTGTACGTCTGACTTTCCAATAAAAGTAAATACATCTTTTCTAAAAATAAAAACAAATCTCAAAGTGCACGTGTGATTCAGATCTCGGTCTCGCTGGTCCAGGCACGAGGCCAGCCGCTGTGATCAGACGGCAAAGCAGTCAGTTTGATGTTGTAAGCCACATCCAAGTCGCTGCAGTGATGGTTCAGCTGTGACACACAATGTTGTTTTAGGACAAAGGATGACACACCGGATGACTCCATTGAGTAACATGCTCAAAATGAGGAAATGACAGAAAGGAAAGTGGATTGCTGGTTGTAGCGCAGCAGAGGAGGAGTGTGAGGAAGAGGGCTGAGACAGGTGCAGGGAGGGGGTGTGGCCGCACAGGCTGCGGGCCCAGATGCCCTGCAGCACACTCAAGGTACCCAGGTCGGCAATTTCGCAGCTGGAGACACAAGCCTTGAGTTTCCTGTTTTTGTCAAAACTGCACTGAATATGCGATGACCTCCAAATAGAAGATGTTTTCTTTGGATTTCTTTTTTAAAGGTTTGTTTATTTGTATTGGAAAGTCAGATTTACAGAGAGAAGGAGAAACAAAAAAATTTTCCATCCACTGGTTCACTCCCCAAATAGCTGCCGACAGTCAGAGCTGAGCCGATCCGAAGCCAGGACACAGATGCTTCTTCCAGGTCTCCCACGCGGGTGCAGGGTCCCAAGGCTTTGGGCCGTCCTCGACTGCTTTCCCAGGCCACAAGCAGGGAGCTGGATGGGAAGTGTGGCAGTTAGAACACGAACTGGTGTCCATGTGGAATCTTGACACTTGCAAGGCAAGAATGTAGCCACTGAGCCATCGCACTGGGCCCACAAGAAGCTTCAGAGGAACAAATCCCCGGGAGGGAAGTGCTGGGGGGGCTCCTGCTCTTAACCCACCCCAAAACCATACTTCCCCACACCTCTTCCCTCACCCCGAAGCATCACTATTACTTTTTTTTCCTACTTAATACTTCTGCAAAACAATAAACATATTTTTTAAAAAGATTTATTCATTTTTATTGAAACAAGAGATCTTCAAGGAGGAGAAACAATTTTGTTAAGATGTATTTATTTTTATTGGAAAATTAGATATACAGAGAAGAGAGACATAAGGAGCTTCTGCCCACTGATTCACTCCCCAGGCAGCTGGAGCTGAGCCCATCCACAGCCAAGAACCAGGAGTTTCCTTTGGGCCGTCCTCCACTGCTTTCCCAGGCCACAAGCAGGGAGCTGGATGGGAAGCGGGGCTGCCAGGAAATGAATCAGCGCCCGTACGGGATCCCAGTGCATGCAAGGCAAGGATTTAACTGCTGAGCCATCACGCCAGGCCCTCCATGATCTTTTTTTTTTTTTTAACCAGTTTGTTTAGACCTGTGTGCTATCCCTCTGTCCAAACAGGAGAATAGCTTCTGCAAGGCCACTGTTGTGTGCGTGTCCTCCATGTCCCCATGGAAGTGGCTGCGGGTTCCTCGTGTATAGCCACACCCAAGGGGCTCCGGGCCCTCCGTGGAAACGCCTTGGTCTCCGCGTGGGACAGCGTGCATCCTTGTGCATCCTGAACTCTCCTAAGCATTCACAAAACACACACGTTGCCTCGTAACCCTGCCCTCCACACGCTGAAGCACCTGCCAGCTCCTGGTGCCGCCTAAGGAGCTCCTGCCTGCTACAGAGCAGACACCACGTTGAGGCTCAGTAACCCATGTTCTCCAAAGAGCAGCGTCAGGAAAGCGAGGGTACGCACTGCAGATGGCACTGTGAAGGTTTGGAAAAACCTATTTCTTTATTTGAAAGGCAGACAGAGTCCCCCGACGGTTGGTTCACTCCCCAAATATTCAGAGCAGCCAACAGGATGGACCACACCGAAGCCAGAAGCCTAGAATGCGATCGGAGTCTCCCACATGGGTGGCAGGGACCTAAGGACTCCAGGTGCCATCTTAGAATGTTCTGGATGCACGGAGGGTGGACACTTCAGCTGCCCTCGTAGGCACTCCCGTCTACGCTGTTTGCGGGCCACGTCCGCTGGTCTTTTCTCTGTGTTACAAAAGCCTTGGGGTGTCCCAGGGGGAGGAAGAGCTGACCTTGGCCCCAAGGAAGGGGAAGAGGTGGCTCGCAGAGAGAAACCACCAGGCCTGCAACAAAGATAAGCAAGAGCAGAGCACGCGGGGGCAGGAGATGAAGCGGGCACAGGGGAGACAGTGGCCCGGAGGCCTGGCTCACACCGCCTGGCACCGCTCGGCCGTGGTGTCCACCGTGGAGCGCGTGACCGACTTGCTGTCCCGGCTCGGGGTCTCCTCGGTCAGCACGTGGCGGAGGATGCTGGGGAGGGACTTGCTGATGCGGGTCTTCCCGGCGACCACGTAGATGACGGGGTTGATGCAGCAGTTGACGTAGGCCAGCGAGATACACAGAGAGTCTATCTTGGAGGCCGCCTTGAAGGTGGCGGAATGGGAGGGGTGCAGGGCCATGAGCGTGCCAGTCACTTGGTAAGGCAGCCAGAGGATGAAGAAGCAGGTCACCACGGTCACCACCACCTTGAGCGTCTTGGCGGAGCGTGTGGCCTTGCGACTCCAGGTCCGCAGCAGGAGGAAGGTGTAGCAAATGCTGAGCGTCAACAGTGGCAACAGGAAGCCCAGGACCAGCCGCATCATGGCCACCACCTTCTCCTTGTGCTTGCCGTCGAGCCCATAGTTCACACCACAAGACGTCTTGGGTGGAAAGTGCTCCTCCGACAGTGACCGGTACAGGAAGGAGGGGATAGTCAAGACCAAAGCCAGGGCCCAGGCCAGGCCACAGAGCAGCCAAGCTAAGCGGGCCCCTCGGAATTTCTGGCACCAGATGGGGTTGAACACCAACAAGAAGCGGTCGGCGCTGATGGTGGCCAGGAGCAGGACACTGGCATACAAGTTGAGCAAGATGAGAGAGGGCAGGATGCGACAGGCGGCCTCGCCCAAGGACCAGTGCCCGTCCCGGATGCTGGTCACGAACAAGACGGGCAGTGCCAGGCACGACAGGAGGTCGGCCACGGCCAGATTGAGGAACCAGATGGCATTGATGACTCGCTTGGCCTCCTGTGCCGTCACCCACACCACCAGGGCATTGCCTGGCACACCCACCAGGAAGACAGCTGTGTAGATGACCAAGGCTATAACATCCAGTGGGTGCCGGTGATGGGAAGGGTTAACCTTGAGGGGAGGGTCCAGGGTTCCATATTCCGGGTATTCAGTGATGTTATCCATGGCTCCTATGTGGAATAATAGTATGAGTCTCAGGTCTCACCCCACGTTCCACACCCGCGGTTTTGGCCCCAGCCACATGGCTTTCCAGCCCTCCGTCTGGCTCATGCCCCCACAGAAATAGGGGTGCTGAGGGCTGAGGTAGCTGGGGCTAAGCCCCCTAGTAAAATATCAGAATGCTTGGGGCATGTGCCTGGCCCACTTTCCACAGATCTGGGGCCGGCTCCACTCCCAGTTCCAGTTTCTGGCTAGCATGCAGCCCAAGAAGCAGCAGGTGCTGGTACCAGTAGCTGAATCCCTGCCCGCCCTCCCCCCCGCCCGCCCCCCACCGCCTCCCGGGGATGGCTGGAATGAGTTCTGGGCTCCCAGCTTGTGCCCGGTCCAGTCCTGGCCATCGTGGGCACCAGGGAGTGAAGCAGCAGATGGAAGATCTGCGTGTGCGTGTGTGTGTGTTCAATCTGTCTCTCCTTCTGAAATAAAGAGGAAAAAAAGGCAGGGACAAGAAAACAAGGGATTTTTTTTTTCAGTGTTGTCGGGGAATTCTTTACAAGTAATGCAATGACAGCTTGAGTGGTCCCTCCTAGCCACAGTCCAGCCATGATTCAGCAACACACACCAATGTGTAAATGTATATTAGTTCACAGTAAAGCAAGCATGAGGCCAGTGCCACAGTGTAGCAAGCTAAGCCTCTATCAGCCTCCTATATGGATGGCAGTTCGAATTCCAGCTGCTCCAGCTCCCTGTTGATGCACCTGGGAAAGCAGATGACGTTGGCCGAAGTGCTTGGGCCCCCACACCCACGCGGGAGACCCTTGTGGTCATCCCGTTCAGAGCTGGACTCGTATGGCACCTGTACACGCAGATGGACGGTTAGGCACTGAGCATGCCTGCCCTGCAGCGAGGTTCCGTGAGCAATGAGCAGTGCCTTGGCACACAGAAGGCCTGCAGTCACTACGCTGCGCTCTCCCCGGATGCCAGGTGCCCCAGGGGGCTCTGATCTGTGCCCCCTTGCAGCCACTCTCACCCTGGGGCCAACCAGGCAGTGGGTGTGGCTAACGCTGTGACTCTGACTGCAGGTTGGCTGAGAAGAGGAGGGAGAACATAGAAGAAGGCTCATTGCAATGGGAACAACGCGGCTGGCAGATGTCAGTTCTCTCTCTCTCTCTCTCTCTCTCTCTGCCTCACTCCCAGAAGTGAAGATGGCCACCTCCCACCGCAGGCGGCCTCTGCCAATGCCCAGCCCGGCTCCTGACCCCAGCTTCCTGCCAGCGCAGTCCCTGGGACGCAGAAGGTGACGGCTCAGGCCACTGGCTTCCCTCGACCCATGTGAGCCCCAGCCCCCGGTTCACCCTGGTCCAGCTCTGGCCGTGGGCAGCATTTAAACAAAAATGTAGCCAAAAATGGGATCGCTGTCTGCCTCACGAAGGAACAAATGAATGCAACTTAAAAGGTGAATCATTTGGATTTTAGTTGATATTTTTTTTAATATCATGCAGATTAAGAAGTGACTGGAGACTACAACGTCAGGACGCCTGGTACAGCCTGGAGCCGCGGCCAGGAACCTGGAGCAGCGGCCAGGAACGCGGAGCAGCAGCCAGGAACCTGGAGCCGCGGCCAGGAACCTGGAGCAGCAGCCAGGAAGCCAGAGCCGCGGCCAGGAACCTGGAGCAGCAGCCAGGAAGCCAGAGCCGCGGCCAGGAACCTGGAGCAGCAGCCAGGAAGCCAGAGCCGCGGCCAGGAACGCGGAGCAGCAGCCAGGAACCTGGAGCAGCAGCCAGGAAGCCAGAGCCGCGGCCAGGAACCTGGAGCAGCAGCCAGGAAGCCAGAGCCGCGGCCAGGAACGCGGAGCAGCAGCCAGGAACCTGGAGCAGCAGCCAGGAAGCCAGAGCCGCGGCCAGGAACCTGGAGCAGCAGCCAGGAAGCCAGAGCCGTGGCCAGGAACCTGGAGCAGCAGCCAGGAAGCCAGAGCCGTGGCCAGGAACCTGGAGCAGGAAATACAACTTCACTGTAATAGGTGTTGTTGGGCCCCTCGAATGGTCTGCGGCCTGGACAACAGCACTGGACCTGACGCTGAGCTTCCTATGTCTGGGCCAAGCTCCTGCAATTGCACCTGCTGGCTCTTGGGAACTTCCTCTCAGCTCAGGTAGTCAGAGGTGGGTGGAGGGCCTGGGGGCATGTTGGAGCTCTGATAGACCTGGATAGAAGGGAGAGAGAGATGGCTGGCTGGATGGATGGCTGGATGGATGGGCAGATGATGGATGAATAGGTGATACATTATAGATGACAAATAGCTAGATATGGATGGATGGCCAATAGACGGAGATGGATGATACAGGGTTGGATAAATGAACTGTAAATGAAATTGTATTGGTGATAAAAAAACTAAAATAAAAAAAAATCGTACGGATGATAGATACTAGATGGATGGCTGGGATATAGACAGATGGTTGGGTTCACAGCGGGATGGATGGTTGATGGATTGGTGCCTTCATCCATCGGCGGAGGAGAGGTGGCTGGACAGGTGACAGTAGGTCATAAACAGATGGGTGAGTGGCTGGGTGGGGGGATGAGTGGCTGGGTGGGGGGATGAGTGGCTGGGTGGGGGGAGGTGGTCGGATAATGGTGGGGACTCTGGGTAAAATGCCGATAAGAACGTTCGGTTTTATTCCTGCATTTTCTGCATGCTTGAAAATCAGCCACACCGGAAAGTTGAAGCATCTGGAATCCTTCCACCAGCAGGCCTGACAGAGCTCAGCCCAAAGGGCCAAGGAAGGGGCACAGGTGGTACAGAGCTGCAGGCTGGTAGGACGCACCCCGATTCGGGAGGCCCCGTGGCGGGGCAGAGGCCCAAGCCCTTGGCCCGTCCTCCACAGCCTTCCCAAGTGCACTAGCAGGGAGCTGGATCGGAAGTGGGAGCAGCAAACATCCTATATGGGATGCCAGCACCACAGCCAGAGGCTTTACCCACTGTGCCACAGTGCCAGCCTGCAATCCCAGCCTTTGCCTCTGCGGGTTTGTTTCCCAAAAGTGCCGTGACTCAGAGCACCCCCTCCTTGTGCGTGAGTCACTCCCTCATCAGCTGATGGCCCCTCTTCCCCTCTGCTGTGAAGTCACTGGGGCCTCTCCCTGCCCTGACCTCACCGGGTCCCAGGGAAGATGCTGACTAGAACACGCTGCGGCTTCTGGGCCCTTCCCAGTGCCAACAGCTCAGCAAATCCCCTGAAACTGGAAATCACCCAGGCATCCAGGGAGAGGGCAGTGGCTGCGCTAACCGTGGCCCACTACCCATGCTAGGCGGCTTGCAGAGAGAAGGAGGAAGCTGCAGCTGTCGGGGCTGGTGGAGGGACTTCCAAACTTCGGCTAGTCCTCACCCTGCGCAGGGAGAGACCCCGGCTAACGCTTCCCGCCACCTCTGTATGCGCCTGTGTGCGTGTGAGCCTGGGAGTGTAGGCACACGCAGCCTAGTTCCAAAACTTCATGATGCTATTTGTCCCCCAGCCAGAGGGAAGTGGGAGAGGCAGGGCCTCGGCCAGGACAGCTGGGGCCCCCATGCACTTCTGTTGTTCTTGGATCCAAAGCTGTGGCAGTTAGTGACTCACAGAAAAGGGTGTGGAATAAAACAGTCAGCCCTCTGCGCCAAAGCGTCCACATGCCTGCCAATGGGCAGAGGAGACAGCATGGGATGGCGAAGGTTCTTGGGCCCGTACCTGCGTGGAGACCCAGAGGAGGCTACTGGCTCCTGCCTGTGGATCGGCTTAGCTCTGGCTGTTGGCGCCACTAGAGGGGTGAACCAGCGGACAGAAGAATTCTCTCTGTCTCTCGATAACTCTGCCTTTCACCTGGAAATAAAATAAATATTTTTTTAAAAATAAGTATTATTAAAAAAGTATCACTTGGGTTTTAAGCTTTTTTGGCACTAAAATGAATATTATCTTTTCATGGCATTTCCAGATCTGGGCTGCTGTTGGCAAGGGTGTGGAAAGCTGGCTCAGCGCCCAGAGGTTCCCAGCAGGAGCACGGGAACTCACCCTGATCTCCCGCGTGGATGGCAGGAGCCAGGCCCACTGGCTCCCAGCAGCCACCCAGCAGCCACCCAGCAGCAAGCCAGAGTTGGGCGATGGAGCTGGGGAAGGCAGATCAGGTTTACGAAGCAAGAAAAAACAAGGCAGACAGATTTTCCAGCCATTGCTTCACTCCCCAGGTGGTCACAATGGCCAGAGCTGAGCTACTCCGAAGCCAGGAGCCAGGAAATTCTTCTGGATCTCCCATGCAGATGCAGGGTCCCAAGGCTTTGGGCTGTCCTTCCCTGCTTTCCCAGACTACAAGCAGGGAGCTGGATGGGAAGCGGGGCCGCCGGGATTAGAACCGGCACCCAAATGGAATCCAGGTGCTTTGCAAGGGGAGGATTTAAGCATTGAACATGAACCTTTTTGCAGGGTTTTGGTATTGACTCCCCTACCACCCCCTCCCCATCACAGTCCACAAGGAGAGAGAGCTCAGCAAGTCCAGCCTGGCACGTGGCCTCCAACAGCGCTTCCTGTGAGGTGCCCTCTGGCCATCTGACCCAAGGCGGCAACCCCCAACGGCCACAGGTGCCTTCGGAGCCAGCACACCCGCAGATTCCAACGCTCGGTATTTTGTACTGATGGAAGTTGATGTGGCCACCTGGCACCAGCGGCCACCGCAATGGGCAGTCCACACTGAGGCCTCCAAGGGGACCCTGAGTGGCCCGGCCAGGCTCCAGGGGCATCTCATGGGCAGATGCTGGTGTGCTGGTTTCCCACCAACTGCCTCCCTTGCGCCCCTCTGGCTCCAGCAACCCTGTCCCCCACTCCTCGCCACTGGCTCCAGCAGCTTTGTCACCCCCCCATTGGCTCCAGCAGTTTTGTCACCCCCCCATTGGCTCCAGCAGCCTTGTCACCCCCCCATTGGCTCCAGCAGCTTTGTCACCCCCCCATTGGCTCCAGCAGCCCTGTCCCCCAAGACCTAAGGCTGGGTGGGAGTGACACGGAGGAGGAGTTGGGGAGGATGAGGAAGAGGCCTGGTTGTCCTCAGCCAGAAGGCTGAATGGTAAGTACGGAAGCCCCTCCCCTTCCTGGACTTTCCGCTGTCTACTGGCCTTGGCCGTGGTGGCAACTATGGACCCAGATGACAGGTGCCCCGCCCAGGCGACACACAAAGAGACACACAGAGATCTTTCAAGCTGCTGGCTCACTCCCCAAACACCTGCAGGGGCCGGGGCTGGCACCCACCATGGTAGGTCAGGTCTGAAACCAAGAGCCAGCCAGGCGCCCCATCGGGTCTCCCAGCTGACTGTCAGGGGTCCAGCCACGTGAGCCATGGCTGTCTCCCAGGAATGCGTCGGCAGGGAGCCGGAGTCGTGAGCAAGGTGCTGACTCAAAGCCAGGGCCTCAGATATGAGACAAAGCTGTCCCGAGCCATCGTCACTGACAAGATCCGCTGGGTCGCAGGGCCTGGGCTCCTGGCCCCTATAGAACTGGGCGCAAAGAGACGCAATAACGCTTGGAAGATACGTTCGATGTGGTCTCTCCAGAAACACCGGCATAGCTGGGACAATGTCCTGTGAACCTCACCGAGGGGCCTGTCTGCCGTCCCCACCTCATCAGGGTCCACCTGGTGCCCTCCACCGTCTGCAGCAGGCAGCCCGGAAAAGGGCCCTGAGGGCCAGACAAAGCCATCGCCTGCGGAGCCAGCATCCCAAAAAGACGCCGGTTAGCATCCCGGCTGCTCCACTTCCGATCCAGCGCCTTGCTACCGTGCCTGGGAAGGCAGCGAAGGATGGCCCAAGTGCTTGGGTCCCAGCACCTATGCGGGAGACCCAGATGAAGCACCTGCTTCTTGGCTTCCAACGGGCCCAGCTCCAGCTGTTACAACCATCTGGGGAGTGAGCCAGTGGATGGAAGATCCTCTCTAAATTTCCGAAAAGATAAATCTTATAAAATAAAAACCCCAACCCTTATCCAGACAAGTTTAACCCTCCTGTTTTCAGTCCCTCCTTATGTCCATCCTCCCCTAAAATGAAGTTTTCTCTAACTAGCCTCCTCTCTGTCTTCTTTGAACCCTAAAGTCCTAAACGTAACAGGAGCCACCGCGCCAAGCACCTGCCTCGAATATCATCGCCCTTCCTGTTTCTGAGCTCACTAAAGAAGCCACAGGACCATGACAGAGCACGAGGGCTGGACAGGCACCCGACTCAGGTTCTGTTCTCGAATCTTCTCAATCTTTGACAGGAGAAGTCTGTACACATTGATAAGCAAGGAGACCTTATCCTTCTTATTGCGATGTCAGCAGCGGAGTTTCTATCTGCTGGCTCACTCCCCACATGCTGTGGCAGACAGCTGGGACAAGGTCAGGCTGACGCCAGCAGAACTCCAGCTAGGCTTCCCTGTGTAGGGCAGGGCCCCAGCCCTGCAGCCCTCACAGCTGCCTGCCAGGGTGTGCCTGGAGCTTCCATGGCAGCTGAGCCTAGCTGGCATGGGGACCCTCTTAGCCACTAACACATTTTTCAAACTCAAAGGAGCCAGCTTTCTGGTCCTGAAAGTTAAGCCGCCACGGGCAGTATTGGCATCCTGCTTGAGTACTGGTTCAAGTCCCGGCTGCTCCAGTTCCCATGGAGATAGCATTCCAGGCTCCCGGCTTCTACCTGCCCCAGCCCTGGCTGCTGTGGGTATGCAGGAGTGACCCAGCAGACGGACGATCCATCCACCTGTCCCTCCCTCTCCTCTCTCTACCTTTCCTAGAAAAAGCTAGATACAAAGAGAGGTCTCCAGTCCTTTGCTCCCATGCTGGCAGAGACGTGGAGCATGGCGCTGTGGTGCAGGTGAGGGGACCCGCGGCACGGACAGACCTTGGCAGGGGCCCAGACCTCCAACTTGGCATTTGCAATTCTGGAAACGCAGACTGCTCAAGCCCAAGGCGTGAACAGGAAGAGCGGCAATGAAGACAAAATTCTGGGAACCACCCCAGGCTCCCCTGAGCGGGGCTGGGGGTCAGACCTCCCCTGGGGACAGCAGGTCTGACCAGCAGCAGGGCCCGCCTGATGGCGTGGTGAGTCAACCCGCTGCTTGCAACACCCCCAGCCTAGGAGGGAGTGTGGAGGAACTGGCTCAGGCTGGGCCGCTCCAGTTCTCAGGCGAGATTGCAGGGCTTGAACCCCAGGGGTGCTCCTGGCTCCTGGCTTCAGCCTGGCCCAGCTCTGGCAGCTGTGGGTGTTTGAGGGAATGAACCAACAGATGGAAGATTCTGTCTCTCTCCCCTTCTCTCCTGTTCTCTCTGTCTCTCTCTTTCCATCTCTCTCTCTCTTCCCCTTCCTCTCTCCTTTCTTCCTCTTTCCCTCTCTCTCCTTCTGTCTCTCTCTCCATATTACTCTAACTTTCAAGTGCACAGAAATGAAAAATAATCATTTACATATTTTAAAATAAAAATTAAGAAAACAAAAGGTGAAGGCAGGTCCCCCCACAAGCTCCTGCCCACGCCGCCCCTAAGCAACTTTAGACAACCGCAGGAAGGATCTGCCACAGAGAGATGCCCCGGCTTGCCTCTGGGGACCAGGGCACCGGGCCCAGGCTGGGCAGCGCTGAGCACTCTTGCCTATTTTGGGAAATGGCTTAGTAAAAAAAAATCCAAGCTGATCCCGGCACGAGGGCTCCGTGCCTACAGCCTCATCTTGCAACTGCTGGGATCCTATGCAGGCACCGGTTCGAATCCTGGCAGCCCCACTTCCCATCCAGCTCCCTGCTTGTGGCCTGGGAAAGCAGTCAAGGACAGCCCCAAAGCCTTGGGACTCTGCACTCGTGTGGGAGACCCGGACGAAGCTCCTGGCTCCTGGCTTCGGATCGGCTCAGTTCTTGCCACTGTGGCCATTTGGGGAGTGAAGCAGTGGATGGAAGATCTTTGTCTCTCTCCTGTATCAGATTTTCCAATAAAAATAAATTAATCTTAAGAAAAAAAAAATCAAAGTGATGCCTGGCTGGCTGTGCTGCGCAAGTCAACCTTGCTCAAGTGAGACCTGGCAGGGGAGGGAGGAAAGCAGGATGAAGCAACATCCCTGGTCCAGCCCCTCTTCCTTCCCACTGCTCCTCCGCCAGCCAGCCCGCGATGTTTCCTCTTTCTCGAAGATGAGGAAGGCAGGGACCCACGGCTGAGCAGGTGCTGAGAGCAGGTGCAGGGGTCCCGGCCGGGACAGGGGGCCCACGCGGGCTCAGCAGGGCTGGTTTTTCCTTATCCCCCAGGTGGGACCAGGCCATCTGCTGGGCCTCAGCTTTCCCACCCTGATTCAGAACACCTCCACAGAGTCAGGGGAGGGAAGTGGCTTTGGTGGTCCCCCAGCCTTCCCCCAGCTCGGTCTCTGCCATCTGCCACTGCGGTCCCCACTGGCCCAGGAGTTTCCTCCCTAGGGAAACCCCTCAACGGCCCAGCACCACCTCCGGAGGGCGAGGAGGCAGGGAGACACTGTGGCTCCCCCAGACCCAGGGTGAGCTTTTCCTTAGCCTCCCCCCAGCTCCGGGGGCCGGGGTGACGCTCTCACATGGGGACAGAGAAAGGAGGGCCAAGCAGGAGACAGCATGAAGAGGGTCTCTAACCCCACACCCCAAATCACCCAAACTCACCACTCGTGGGCTCTCTGGGGCTCCCCGAAGGCCGAGACGCCTCCTGCCCAGGTGGGTGGTGATCTGTCAAGACCCAAGGGAAGGTGCCCGGAGGAAATGACCATTCATGACCGTCGGGGCTCTCATTGGCCAAGCCTCCGGACACCCAAGCTGGACACCCTGGCAAAGGCACACCCCAAGACACCCTGAGCCCTCCTCCTGGACTCAGGAGGGCGGAGCCAGGGCGGAGCCTGCCCCTGCCCGGGCTCAGCCCAGCCTCGGTTTCCCCAGTTGAAGCTGATTCTTTCCTTCTGGAAGCCCAGCTTGTAGAGACAGGCTCAGCGGCTCTGTTGGAATCAGGAGAAGGGCGGGAGTCTCAGACCCCAGCTGGTTCCCCTAGCGGGTGGCAGGGGCAGCGCTGGGGTATATTTTGCTGTTAAAGCTTCCCTCTAGTGGTCAGCAAGGTGGCATAGCAGGGAAAACCACTGGCTGTGGACGCTGGTTCATGTCCCAGCTACTCCACTTCCCATCCAGCTCCCTGCTTATGGCCTAGGAAAGCCGTCGAAGACGGCCCAGAGCTTTGGGACCCTGCACCCGCGTGGGAGACCTGGAGAAGGTTCCTGGCTCCTGGCTTCGGATCGGCATAGCACTAGCCATTGTGGTCGCTTGGGGAGTGAATCATTGGACAGAAGATCTTCCTCTCTGTCTCTCCTGCTCTCTTTCCAATAAAAATAAATGAATCTTTGAAAAAAATACTCAAGCAATACCCTGAGAGCCTTCTTTTGCACGCTGGGTTTTCCAAGGTGACATCAGTGGACATTCCATGCCCAGTTTGGGGGTGATTGCAGTTTGGCAGCTGGGAGCATCCCCCTCCCCTCAGTCCCCCAACCCCGCCCATCGCAGAAAAGGGCAGAGGGAAGTTGGAAGCATTTGTCCTGCCCTGTTCAGTAGTCCACACTCTCAGTAGTCTTCATGGGCATACATTCCTGTCAACTACGCAAACAATATTAAAAAAAAAATTAATAAAAACTTCAGGTGCAAAAGGATCCACAGTGAACAACAGAGACTCAGCTGGAGACTACTATATTTTTAGATTTATGCAAAAGGCAGAGTGACAGAGAGATCTCTCGTCCATTGGTTCACTCCCCCAGTGGCCACAACAGCGGCGGCTGGACAAGCCAGGAGCCGGCAACTCTGTCCGGGTCTCCCACGTGAGTGCCGGGGCCCAAGCACCCCAGCCGGTCCCTGCTGCCTTCCTAGGCACTTCAGCGGCAGGTGGATCAGAAGTGGAGCAGCCAGGACTTGAACCGGCCACCACAGAGGATGCTGCCGAGGGCGCAGCTCCCAGGCAGCCCCCAGGTCACAGGCAAGGCCATTCTCTCATAACCGCAGTGCTGAGCTAAGCCTAGGTAATCTAGTGCAACACCATTGCCCAATGCGTGATCCAAACTGGCTTCAAAAAAAACTTATGTTTTTGGAAAGGCAGATTTACAGAGAGAAGGAGATACACAGAGAAAGATCTCCCATCTGCTGCTTCACTCCCTAAGTGTCTGCAAGGGCCGGGACTAGGTCAGACAGGAGCCAGGGGCTTCGTCTGGGTCTCTCACGTAGCTGGCAGGGACCCAGGCACAGGGCCCATCCTCTGTTGCCTCCAGGCACATTAGCAGGGAGCTGGGTGGGAAGTGGAGCAGCCGGGATTCAAACCAGTGTCCATATGGGATGCCAACGCTGAGCTACAGCCTGAGCACAGTACACTGCAGCACCAGTCCTAAAAAAAAAAAAAGTTTTGTGGATGACTTTATTATTATTATTATTATTATTATTATTATTATTATTATTATTTTATGAAGCAGCTCCACAGGCTCTGGGATTTCCTTACACCTTCCCCAAAGCCCCTCCCCTCCCACTGGTCTCCCCCGTATCATTACAGTAGTACAGTTTTTCACAAACAGCCATCATTCTGGTATTTTAAGCGTGTCCTGACACTGCGGGCATGGACAATGGCAGAGAGTCCAGCATCCTGTGGGCAAGATCTCTGTAATAGGGCCTGGCGCGGTGGCGCAAGTGGTTAAAGGTCCTCGCCTTGCACCCCCGGGATCCCATATGGGCGCCGGTTCTAATCCCGGCAGCCCCGCTTCCCTTCCAGCTCCCTGTCTGTGGCCTGGGAAAGCAGTCGAGGACGGCCCAAAGCTTTGGGACCCTGCACCCGCGTGGGAGACCCGGAAGAGGCTCCTGGCTTCGGATCGGCATAGTATCGCCCGTTGCGCTCACTTGGGGAGTGAACCATCGGACGGAAGATCTTCCTCTCTGTCTCTCCTCTCTGTATATCCGCCTTTCCAATGAAAAAAAAAATATAATAAAAAAATAAATCTTTAAAAAAAAAAAGATCTCTGTAATAGTTGGTAGTCACTTTTGGAAGCAGAGATGCATACTGCACTGCATCCTCACGTCTGGATAGGACAGTCTCCATTACACAGTTACTGTACATCCGCTTCAATGAAAAGCCACAAGACAAAATCAGCAACAGCCAGAAAAATTGAAATTTGCAATGTCGTGAAGTTAAACAACATGCTAAAGAATGACTAATGTGTGTCGCTGAAGAAACGAAAAAGAAAATCAAGAACCTTCTTGAAGAAAACGTTGCTACTGTCAGTCAGTAAAGAACTGAGTGACAAGGGCCCAGCACAATAGCCTAGCAGTTAAGGTCCTCGTCGTGAATGCGCCCGGGATCCCATATGAGCGCCGGTTCGGTTCTAATCCTGGCTAGCCCCGCTTCCCCTCCAGCTCCCTGCTTGTGGCCTGGGAAAGCAGTCGAAGATGGCCCAAAGCCTGGGGACCCTGCACCTGCATGGGGAACCCGGAAGAGGCTCCTGGCTCCTGGCTCCTGGCTTCAGATTGGCACAGCTCCAGCCGTTGAGCTCACTTGGGCAGTGAGCCATCAGACAGAAGATCTTCCTCTCTGTCTCTCCTCTCTGTATATCTGCCTTTCCAATAAAAATAAATAAATCTTTTAAAAAAATTGAATGACGAAAAAAAGTAAAAACAAAAACATTGAAATCCGTGAGACATCATCTCCGCTGATCTTTGTTGATGAGATACGGGCAACAGATAGACAGCTTTGCTTTTTGGTCCATAATTCAATAAGTCTTTTGAAAAGACGCCCACCGCAGAGGGCCTGGGTGTGATATCTGACTCTGATTCCAGCTTCCCGCCTGCACGCACGTTGGCAAGCAGCAGGGGATGGCCCTGGGCTCCTGCCACCCAGGTGGAGTTCGGCCAGGGCGGCCAGGGACAGTGACCCAGCCGGAGTTTGGCCAGGGTGGTCAGGGCGGCCAGAGACAGTGACCCAGCAGGGCCCAGCTCTCAGCCACCTGCTGAACCAAGAGGAGCATCCTGCGTTAAAGTACACACGCGCCCTCCAGTGGGAGGAACGGGTATTGCTACTGAGGGATCTGCAGGGGGTCGGGGCAAATTCTGGAATTGCAGTCCAGACACAGAGAGTCGCTTCAGGGGACTTCCTGTCTTTTTTTTTAATCTACATATTTGAAAGGCAAGGCTGGAGTCGGCACAGCGGCACGTACCAAGCTGATCCTTTGCAATTTTTTGGATAATTTTTCTCTTGATTTTTTAAAAAAGATTTATTTATTTTTATTGGAAAGTCAGATATACAGAGAGGAGGAAAGACAGAGAGGAAGATCTTCCGTCTGATGGTTCACTCCCCAAGCAACGGCCAGTGCTGTGCCGATCCAAAGCCAGGAGCCAGGAACCTTCTCCAGGTCTCCCACGCGGGTGCAGGGTCCCAAGGTTTTGAGCCATCCTCCACTGCTTTCCCAGGCCACCAGCAGGGAGCTGGATGGGAAGTGGAGCTGCCAGGATTAGAACCGGTGCCAACATGGAATCCTGGCGCTTCAAAGGCGAGGACTTTAACCACTACGCTATTGTGCCAAGCTCTGATCCTCTGCATTGTATCGCCAGTGTCTCATACGATCTTTCATGTCCCAGCTGTTCCACTTCTGATCCAGCCCTCTGCTGTGGCTTGGGAAAGTGGCAGAGGGTGGCCCAGATGCTTGGGCTCCTGCACCTGTGTGGGAGACCTGGAGGAAGCTGCGGACTCCTGGTTTCAGATCAGCTCAGCTCTGGCTATTGCAGCCATTTAAACCAGGAGATGATAGATTTGTCTGTATAACTCTGACTTTTTCTTTCAAGTTAAATAAATAATTTTTAAAAATGAAAGCCAGGGGCCCGGCACAGTGGCACAAGTGGTTAAAGGTCCTCGCTTCGGATCGGCATAGTATCGGCCCGTTGCACTCACTTGGGGAGTGAATCATCGGACGGAAGATCTTCCTCTCTGTCTCTCCTCTCTGTATATCCGCCTTTCCAATGAAAAAATAATAAAAATAAATCTTAAAAAAAAAAATGAAAGCCAGGTTCCAGCACGGTAGCCTAATGAAGGTTCTCACCTTCCATGTGCCGGGATCCCATATGGGCGCTGCTTCGTGTCCTGGTGGCCCCCAGCAGCCCCGCTTCCCCTCCAGCTTCCTGCCTGTGGCCTGGGAAAGCAGTCGAGGACGGCCCAAGGCCTTGGGACCCTGCACCCCCGTGGGAGACCCAGAAGAGGCTCCTGGCTCCTGGCTTCAGTTTGGCTCAGTTCTGGCCGTTGCAGCCACTTGGGAAGTCAATCGATGGACAGATCTTCTCTGTCTCTCCTCCTTTTGTATATCTGACTTTCCAATAAAAATAAATAAATCTTTAAAAACTGAAAGGCAGTTTTAAAGAGAGAGGGGGGAAGAGGCAGAACGATATCTTCCGACCATTGGTTCACTCTCCAAGTGACCGCGATGGCCAGAGTGGGCAGAGCTGAAGCCGGGAGCTTCTCCTGCTCTCCCGCGCGGGTGCAGGGTCCCAAGGCTTTGGGTCGTCCTCGACTGCCTTCCCAGGCCACAGGCAGGGAGCTGGAGGGGAAGCAGAGCAGCTGGGACATGAACCAGCGTCCATGTGTGACCCCGGGGCCTGCAGCGGCCCAGTCCCAGTGTGGGACAGTCGCCTCCCACGGTGGTGTCCCTGGGAGGAATCTGAGCCCTGCTTCTCATTCAGCTTCCTGCTGATGGGCACCGCCCCCCGAGGTGACAGAGGATGGCTGAAGCACTGGGGCCCCTGCCGCCCACCTGGGATACCTGGGTGCAACTCTAGGGTCCAGGCTTCCCCCTGACCCGGCTCTGGCTATTGAGGAGCGAACCAACAAGCAAACGGAAGAGGTTGAGCCAGTTTAGGAAGGCAGCAGCCCCGGCATTCATCCGGCTCTCCCAGGCGGGCTGCAGGGGCCCAGGCCCTCGGCCACCCTCGGCTGCCCTGCCAGGTGCATGGGAAGCGGTGCAGCCGGGATCCCGCAGGGGAAGGCGGCTGTGCGTGCAGGTGCCGTGAAAGTGAGAGCCATCCTGGAGAGAGCCGCTTCCCACAGTCTTTAAATAAACGTTGAATAATGAGGCTGAATCAGGGTTTGGCCGCACGCCAGGCGCCAGGCCTGCGGTCCCTGAGCCAGAGTCCTGGAGGCCGCCCTGCGAGCCACAACTGCTCCAATTTTAGTCAAGTGCTGCTGAGACCGCCCCGGGTTGCATAACGCTCCCGGGGGGCGGGCAGAGCCGGCGCTCTCACCCCACCCCGCACAGACACGCGTGTTTTATTTTGCTGGTTAAATGTTCAAGGCAGAGATGAGAGGCAGGTCGGAGGCGCTCCGTGCTTTGCCATTATGTGACACTGGGGCAGAACGGCCCCGAACTGCCAGTATCTGGGGAGTGAACAAGTGGATGGAAGATCTTCCTCTCTGTCTCTCCTCCTCCGTGTAAATCTGCCTTTCCAATTAAAATAACTTTAAAAATTCCCAAGTTGTACGGTGTCGCCTCAGCGCAGCTCCTCGCTGCCCTCTGGCGGCCACTCCTCACGCAGCAGCTGGACTGTCCACTGGAAGCCTGCGTGGACTCCTCCTGGCCAAGCCCGGTGCACACCGAGCCCCGCAGCAACCCGCCGGCCACCCTGGCCTCCGCGCACCCGCACCTGAGCGCCGTCCCATCACTGCACCGGATCCCCGCAGCCGCTCCGATCCATCAGGGGAGGGAGGGGGACAGTAGGCCTGCTTGTTCAGGACGTTTAACCCGGGCATGGCACAGGGCAGGTGCTCAGGTTCTTTGTTACTTGAAAGGAATGCAGACCAGCAGAAAGACTGAGAACCAGGAGGAAAGAAGGGCAACGGGAGAGCCCAGCACCGTAGCCTAGTGGCTAGGATTCTTCTCTTGCATGCACTGGGGGTCCCATACCGGCGCTGGACCTTACCCCAGCTGCTCCACTTCCCATCCAGCTCCCTGCCCGTGGCCTGGGAAAGCAGTGGAGGACGGCCCAAAGCCTTGGGACCCTGCACCTGTGTGGGAGACCCGGAAGAAGCTTCCGGCTCTTGGCTTCGGATTGGCTCAGCTCCGGCCGTTGCGACTGCTTGGGGAATGAACCATCAGATGGAGGAGCTCTCTGACTTTCCAATGAAAATAAATACGTCTGTTTTGTAAAGGGGGAGAGGGTAAGAGGGGAGAGGGAGGGGTGCGGAGGGAGAACAAGGCATGGGGGAGGGCAGGAAGCTGGGGAGAGATGGGGGGGCGGCGCACAGGAGAGAGACATCAGGCTCAGCCAGCACGGAGGGGGGGGGGAGAAGCGAGCAGGAGGAGGGGAGGGGAGAGAAAGGAAGGGGGAGGGATGATGGGAGCACAGAGGTCAGGGTCGGGCCAGCACTGAGGCCCTGGCAGACCCGCACCACGCCCAGGGGCCTGACCATGAGCTTGCTGCAAAAGCCCCGCGCACGAGGGGGCTCCAGTCTTCGGGTTCCTGCCAGGCACCTGGGGGACCCACATGAGTCCTGGGCTCCTGGCTTCCACCTGGCCCAGCCCCGACTATCGCATTTAGGGAACACAGAGAATGAGAAATTAGTTTCCAAGTTTTGCAACATGCTGGGCAAAAGCAAGCCTGCTCTTGCCATGCTGGCATCCCATACGGGCGCTGGTTCAAGTCCCGACTTCCTCACTTGCAACCCAGCTCCCTGCACCTGGGAAAGCAGCGGAGCACGGGCCAAGCCCCTGCACCCACATGGGAGACCTACGGAGCTCCCGACTTCAGACCGGCCCAGCCCCGGCCACTGTGGCTACTTCAGGAGTCTCTCTCTCCTCTGTAAGTTCGCCTTAAAAATAAAAACAGAAAAGACGAGGCCCAGCAGAGCGCCCCCAAGCACAGCAAGCACAGCCGTTGGGAGCGGCGCGTGCCCCCGCCTTTAATCGGCTGAAGCAAGCTTTGGGACGATTCGATCGCCCTCCGGACCCAAGCTACGCTACAAACCCTACGGTCTGAGGGGTGGGGAGGGCGAGGCTGAGCTCGCTGCCCAAGGCGCCCCAGGTCCCGAGGGGACGAGCTGGACAATCCGCGCTGACCGCAGATGGCCACCCCCTCCTCTGCGCCTGCGTCAGCCCCGGGGACGTGCCAGGACCAGGGAGGGAGCTGAGGGGGCGGCTGACTGTGTCACCCTGGCCCCAGGGGAGGCAGCCTCCCCGGAAAGTCACCAGCTCCGGGCGGACAGGGAGCCCGCCTTGTGGACACTGGGTCCCAGGCCCCTGCTCCTCCGTGGGCTCCAGGAGGGCAAGGCTGCGCGCTCCATTTCCCCTGGAAGGATGGAGCGAGCTCTCGCGCCCAGAACCCGGCCACCCTAAAGCCCAGCGGTCCCCCTGACTCCCTTCCCTCCTCCACGCCCTCCCCCGGTGGACCCCAAGAGAGGGGGCCCAGGCGGACTTGCCCTCCCTACGACCGGACCACAGAGACAACGCGGGGCAGCTGGGGCTGCGGTTTATTACAGATGGACAAGAGGCTCAGGAGGAGGGCGGTGGGCGGCAGCTTCTGCGCTCAGAAGCCTGTGGGGGAGAGGGGACCCCCAGCATCTCCCTTCCGGCCCCATTCTTGAGGATGACGGATGCTGCGCCTGCGGTCCGGGCAGGGCTGGGGGGGAGCGTCACCCGGGTCCTGGTCCACCCGCGGCCTGCGGCGTCTCCCCCGGTGGCTGGCGGCGGCTGGGGTCGCTGTGCCGGCGGCTCCGAGGCAGCTCGAGCTGGGGTCTCGGCCCGCCGGGGGCTCCCAGGACGCAGGACACCGAGGCGGCGGCGGCGGGTGCCGGGGCGAGCGGCGCGCCCGGGCGCGCGGCACACGGAGGGGCCGGGGCGCTGGGCGGCGGCCCGGCGGGGGCCGCGTGGGCCCGCGTGGGGACCCAGATGAGACCGTAGTAGACGGCGAGCAGCACGGCGGCCAGCGAGACGCAGAGGAAGTAGGCGCAGACCGGGGCCAGACGCAGCCAGCGGCCCCGCGGGCCCTCGCTCAGGCCCGAGCCGCCCGGGCTCTCACCCCCGCCGCCCACGCAGCTCGTGCCCCGCATCTCCACCGCCCGCTCCGCCCCGCGCGCGCCCGCCAGGCCCGCCCCCTCCCGGGCTCGCGTCCCAAAAGGCGGGTGTCTGCAGCTCCGCCCCCGCCGGGGGACAGACGCATCCCCGAAGGGCGGGCCTCCCCGCGCACCCCGCCCGCACCCTTGCCCCTACCCCTGCCTGCACCCAGGCCTCTGCCTGCGGCCCGGCCCCGGCCCCTATGGGAACTCGCACCGACCCCGCCTGGGATCCTCAGCCTGCTCAACCCTAACCGAGCGGGGCGCGCCCCCTCCCAGGGAGCCCCTCTGCACCTGCGCCACCTGCTCTGGGGGGTCGAGCAGGCCAAGCTCCACCCCCACCCACTCCAGCATCCAGCTGGCCCGGCAGGCAGCACCTGCTCCACACGGCCCCGTCTTCCCGGGTGTGCCAAGTAAGGGTCCCGCTCCGCCCCCACACCAACCATGCCCCTTCGCCCATGCTCCGCCAGCACCCTTAATTCTTCCTCGCCCCCTTGGAGCCGTGGCGTTCAGAGTGGGCTCCGTGCAGAACCTCCTCCTGCCGCCCCCTTCCCACCAAGGCGGGGACGCTCCAGGACCCCCTCCCCAACCCCCTGCGGTGTCTTCAGGAGTTCGGGGAAGCCTGCGGGAGGGGAGGGGAGACGTATCAGGGGGTGAAGAAAGGCAGACCCCCCCCCACACACACACCCGTCCACCTCCTTCGCCACAGAAAAGCCCGCCAAGCACAGCGCCCAGCCGCCTCCAGCCACAAACACAGCTCCCGGGGAGCGAGCACTGCATTTTAATAGACCCGAGGCAGGTGGGCGCAGACAGCACCCATGGCCTCCGGGGGCTCAGCCAAGCCAGGGGTCACATCCCCCACCCCCAGGGGAGCGAGGACCCTCCCCCCTTACATTTAACCCTCTCCTGGCCGGAGCGTGCGGCAGAAGCAGAGGAGCGAGGCGGGAGGTTAGTGCGGGGCCCCGGAAGGCAGTCCTCCGGCGGGCGCGGTCAGCGGGCGGCCCCCACCACCTTGCAGAAACGCACCCTCTGGAAGCCGGTGATCTCCGCCGTCTCCTGGGCCTCGGGGCCCGCCTCTGGGGAGAGAAGGGCCAGTCAGCCGGGCGGCAGTGCCCCCACCTCCTGCACCCCCGGCCAGCCACTGCTCCTCACTGCTGCCCGCCGCGGGGCTCAGGGGCCAGACTTCCTTCAGCATACCCCTACGAGGTAACCCCCACACATGCCAACGCCGGGCTCCAGCCAACCTGGGGCCAGCGAGCCCCGGCCTCCTCGTCCCTCTGCCCTTTCCTTCCCACCCGAGTTCCCAGGGGCCTCGGGAGTGGTCCCGGGTTGGGAGGGCGCTTCAGTCTCTCGCCCCCATTTTCCTGGGTCAGGCCTCCACTGCTAACTGCCCCCTCCACCCCCACAGTGGGCTGCAAGTCCTAGCAGGTCTCGCCCGCCCCTCCCCCCCCAATTCTTCGCACCTCCAGCTGCTTCCCTGGTCCCACCTAGGCCCCTCCCTCCATCTCACCGCCCCTCAGCACCAGTCCAAGCTGGCCCAGCCCTCTAGCCTGGCCCAGCCGAGCTCCAAGTCCCCTCGCAGCAGCCCCACCCTTCCCCCTACCCCAGCAGCGCCCGAGCCCCCACCTGCAGCTGCCTCTGAGCCCTCCTCTCCAGCACTCCGGGGTCCAGGGGAGGCAGGGACAGGCTGGTCGCCACCTGGGGCTGTGGATGGGGAAGCCCAGTCAAGTCCCCACGGCCCCCACCATCTCTCCAGGCTCAGAGAGAAGGTTGGGAGTGAGGGGGGTCAGGGACGCACTTGGGGGCAGCATGAGAGGATGTGAATTCTTTATTGGAGGTAGAGAGGGGGTGGGGGCTCAGCATGGCTCCAGGGGAGCCTGGGAGGGAGTCCAGAGATGGAGCAGGGCAGCAAGGGGCGCCAGCTGCCCTCCTAGCTGCCAGGGCTCAGGGCATCTGGGGTCCGGGGCCCAGCACACCCAGGCCTCCCCAGCCATGCCCCGAGCACACACACTGCAGCCAGCTTCATGCATCCCCGAAGGGCCAGGCCTCACCCGGACAAAGGGCGCCTGTCGGGTGGGCGGTCCGTGGCGAGTTCAGCTCCATCTCTTCACCCCAGTCGGATACGGGCTGGTGGCCCCCGGGGGGCGAGAAGGGGCTGGCCGGCGGGGTGGAGGCCTGGGGAAGCGGCTCATCCTTGGGAGCCTGGGGTGCCCCAATGGCACCGCTGGCTGCCTCACTGGCGGGGTTCCTGGCATCGCTGACCGCCTCATTGGTGGGGCTCCCTGCACCGCTGGCCGCCTCACTGGCGGGGTTCCTGGCATCGCTGACCGCCTCATTGGTGGGGTTCCCTGCACCGCTGGCCGCCTCACTGGCAGGGTTCCCTGCACCGCTGGCCGCCTCATTGGTGGGGTTCCCTGCACCGCTGGCCGCTTCACTGGCGGAGTTCCTGGTACCGCTGGCCGCTTCACTGGCGGGGCTCCCCGCACTGCCGGCTGGCTCCCTGGTGGGGCTCCCATCGGCCTCCTGGGACTGGTGGTCCGGAGCTGGTGGTTCTTCTTCCTCCTCCTCCTCTTCCTCCTCCTCCACATCCTCCTCCTCCTCACTCATGTCTTCCCATTCTTCGTCCTCCTCCCCCTCGTCCTCCTCCCCCTCGTCCTCAGGAGGCCGGTGAGTGGAGGCTGAGGTCTCGGGGGGCTGCAGGGAAGGTGACAGAGAAGGTGTGTGGTTCTGAGCACCCCACCCTCTGCCCAGGCGGCCCCCACTATACCTGCGCAGGCGTCAGCTCAGCTGGAGCAGGCTGGGGGGCTTCGGGGGCAGGGGCCGCTGTCTCCTCTTCCGTCTCCCACCGGTCATCGTGGTCACTGAGGGGCAGGGACAGAGTGGAGGCCCGGGCGTGGAGTGGACAGGAGGTGGGAGAGAAGCAGTGGGGGCCCTCGCAGGGAGGGTCGGGAGGGGACACGGAGACAGATGAGAATAAAACTCAAAGCCAGCCGCCAACCCCCCGAAACCAAGAGCCGGGGCGAGGGGGCGAGGGGGCGAGGAGAGGGTCCCGGCCGGGGAAGGGCGCTCCCACCTGTAGGCGCGGGGGAGCGCCTTGGCCTGCGGGCGGCTGCTCCTCCGCCTCCTGCGGCTGCTGACTTCAGCTTTATGTTGGGACAGGAACTCCCCAAAAGTGGGGGGCTTAGGAGGCCGGGCCCAGGCCTGGTCATCTGCGAGGGAACCAGGCAGGGTGAAGCAGGGGAGCCTGGGCACCTCCCCACTGCAAAGCCAGCCCAGCAGACCCCTCACCGAGGCCGCGAGGACAGCCCTTACCGTAGCGGTGGGATGACGGCTCAGGGGCTGCGGCTGGGCCATCCTTGAACCTGAGGAAAGAGAACAGGTGAGCAGGCGACTGCGGAAACTGGGGAGGAAAGGGGGGGTGCAGGAAAGCAGAGGAGAGGGGACCAGGTCCTCGAGAGAAGGCTCCCGAATCCTGCTGGCCCACCTCGGAAGCCCACGGCGAGGCGTGGCCCATCCGTGTCCCAGCTAACGCATCTGGGATGGCAGACAGCCACGGCTCAAACTCTTGGGCCCCTGCCAGCCACAGGAGAGACCCCGGTGGAGTTCCAGGTTTCTGCCTTTGGGTTGACCCAGTCCTGGCTGTTAGAGCTAGCAGGTGGAAGATCTGTGTCTCTCCCTGTCATCCTGGCTTTGAATTCAATGTGTGGGGGAGGGGAGAGGAAAGAAAAAGAGAAAAAAAAAAAAGCAAGTGGACTGCCCCTAACACCAACCTGCCCCCACGTGGCCTCACCCATCACCCTGCTCGAGGCCTGCCACCTGCTGCTGGGACACGCTCCGCCACAGGTGCTCGGCGGCTCCCTCCCTCCGCTCCTTCTGGCCACAGCGGAGAGGCTGGGCCTGCTGCCACAGTGACATTTATTATCTAGGATCCCCTCTCCTCACGACCAAGCCCCTCCCTGCCTGTCTTCCCAGCCACGCTCAAAGCTCCAGGGAGGCTGCAAGGATCTGGTCACTGTCATAGCACCGTCACCAGGAACGCCCAAGCCACCCGGACAGCCTGACGGACTCAACCACGGGTGTCAGACTCGCAGCAGCCGCTAGGGGCGCCCAAAGCCAAGACCTTTCCACCCCCCCACCCCCACCCCCGCCCCAAGAACCATGGTTCATACTTGTGTTTTGTTGTTGTTGCTGTTTTAAAAGATTTATTTATTTTTATTGTAAAGTCAGATATACAGAGAGGAGGAGAGACAGAGAGGAAGATCCGTCTGGGGATTCACTCCCCAAGTGGCCACACTGGCCGGAGCTGCACCAATCTGAAGCCAGGAGCCCAGAGCTCCACCAGGGACTCGCTCCCCGGGCCACCTCCCGCTGCCCTGGCAGACTCAGCAGCCGCCAGGATGCGAACTGTCACGCAGCCGTCCCAAGTGGTGGCTTCACCGGCCAGGACGCTTGCCTCTGCCTTACGATTTTATCTTTCTGTTTTAAACTTATTTGAAAGAGTCACGTGGAGACGTAAAGACACAAAGATTTTCCATCCACGGGTTCCAGATGTTCCATCCACTCCCCAGCTGGCTGCAACAGCTCCAGCCAGAGCTGACAGCCGAGAGCCTCTTCCGGATCGCCCACGCTGGTGCAGGGTCCACTCCACTGCTTTCCCAGACCCCAGGCAGGGAGCTGAATGGGAAGTGGAGCAGCTAAGACGTAAGCCAGCATCCGTATGATATGGGGGCCTCACTACCGCACCACAATGCAGGCCCCATAACTTACAATTCTTAAAAGAGGGGCAGGAAGGTAGACCTCTGGCATGGAGGTTAAGATGCTACTTTGGGGAGGGGAGGAATGTGTGGAGCTAGCATGATAGCTCAACCGGCCAATCTTCCACCATCAAGTGCTGGCATCCCCTAAGGGCACCAGTTCAAGTCCCTGCTGCTCCACTTCCCACTTTGAAGTTTTCCCAGAGGGTAAAGGGAACAGGATCGCCCTCAGGGCTAACACAGCCCCTGCCTAGCAGGTGACACAGTGAGAGGAGAGCTCAGGGGGTCCTGCTGACCACCAGGCAGGGGAGAGGGCAAGGGGCGAAGGACTAGGCACTGGAGCTTCCGCCTGGCCCTCAGCCATGCGGCCATTGCCCTCCTCTCCCCAGCTAGGCCACCACCACTGGCCAACACGGCAAATGACGCTTGTGCTCACACACCTGCCGGGCTGAGGCACCCCACGGCTGACCATCCACCCCGAGACAGACTGCTGCAGACACAGCCTCGGCTTGGCGAGGAAGAAGACAGCAGGGTGTCTACTCAGTGGCTCAATCCTTGCTTTGCATTCACTGGGATCCCACATGGGTGTCCCGGCTGCTCCACTTCCCATCCAGCTCCCTGCTTGTGGCCTGGGAAAGCAGCAGAAGATGGCCCAAAGCCTTGGGACCCTGCACCCACATATGGGTAACCCGGAAGAAGCTCCTGGCTCCTGGCTTTGGATTGGCTCAGCTCCGGCCACTTGGGGAGTGAATCAGCAGATGGAAGATCTGTCTCTCCTCTCTGTAAATCTGACTTTCCAATACAAATAAATTAATTTTTTTAAAAAAGTGGGGAGCCAGCTCAGTAGCCTAGTAGCTAGGGTCCTCACCTTGCACACACCAGGATCCTATATGGGCACCAATTCGTGTCCTAGCTACCCCACTTCCCATCCAGCTCCCAATTAGTGGCCTGGGAAAGCAGTTGAGGACGGTCTAAAGCCTTGGGACTCTACATCTGCGCGGGAGACCAAGAGGAGGCTCCTGACTGGACAGGCTCAGCTCTGGCCATTGCAGCCACTTGGGAAGTGAATCAGCAGCTGGAAGATCCTCTGTCTCCCCTCCTCTCTATATATCTGACTTTCTAATAAAAATAAATATTTTTTTCCTTAAAAAAACACACACACAGCTGTAGGGGCCACAGGCCGGAGTCTCCAGGGTCCAGAGCAGGTGGGCAGGTGGGCAGTGAGGGGCAGGTGGGCAGGTGGGCAGTACTCACATCCCGTCTGTCTTCTCTGCATCCCACTCGCGCCGCCACTGCCCCGTGGGCTTGCGGTGCCTCTGCAGCCGCTCCTGGTCAATCTTGTCGCGTTCCTGCTTCCAGCGCAGGTACTCCGACCGCTCCCGGCCCGTCATGGACAGCGTCATGTCACCGGTGCTGCCCAGGCCTGCCCGGCGGCCCTGCCCCGGACAGGCAGTCAGCACCCTGGTCCCCAACCCTGCTCCCCATCCCCCCGAAGCTCAAGGGTGACACAGGGAGCAGGTGACAAGCAGAGATCAGAAGCAAAGGGGGCATCATGGCACCCCCTCAAGGAACCAACCCAGGCACTACCCGGCCCCTCACTCCTTCCTTCTCATCCAACCACCAGCTAAAGCCACAGCAGGGCAGGGCTGTGCATGCCACGCCTGGCACGGCACTGGCATCACCAAGCAAGGAGAGGCTGCAGGGAGAACCACACCACCTCCACCACCACGGGGTGACCCAGGGGTGTGGGACGCAGCTGGGCCTCACAACCTCACCTACCCACACCCAGCGAGACTCCCAGCCGGGCAGGGAACACCCGATGCCAGAAAAGCCCTTCCTAATGAAATCCCCAGGTGCGGGCACGGAGGGCGAGACAGGCATCCTGCATAGGATGGTACGGACCAGGCCCCCCAGCCCAGAGCACACCCACCTGCCGCTCCTGCTCCAGGCCGCTGCGAACCCGCTCGAAGTCAGAGCCGCCCCAGTTGCGCCCGTGCCGCCGGCTGCCCTCCCGCCGGTCCCGCTCGGGCTCATCCAGCGGCCCACTGCGCCGCCGCGGGTCGTCCAGGAAGTTGCGCACGGGGTTGGGTTCTAGCACACCCTCCTGCGGACACAGGGGCAGGGTTGGCGGGCCCTAGGCCGTGCCCTCCTGCGGACACAGGGGCAGGGTTGGCGGGCCCTAGGCCGTGCCCTCCCGGCCCTGCCCGCCGGCCGCGTGGTGGCGCACTGACCCGCTGGCTGCGCTCGTACTCGGCGATCCTCTCCATCTCCTGGTTCATCTTCTCGATGTTCTGCCTGCGCCGCTCCTCCCACTCCTGGGGTGCGGAGGGGACATCCCAGATCAGGAGCCCTGTGGGCAGCAGGCCCCCACTACCCCCTCTGTTCCAGGGTCCTGCACTGCTGTGTGCACGCTCCCGGGGCACCTGGAGCCAGCGCCCACTGTGCTCACTACCTGTGTGGGGGAGGCAAAGCCAGGACCAGCCCTAATGATCTCCCGTAAGTCCCCCGGCAGGCTCAGTGCTGGGGGAACCAGGCACCCCGGGCCCACCACCCTCTCCCTGTGACAAAGCTAAGGCCGCCCACGAGCTGGGCCTTCTGAGTCTTCCTCAGTGATCCCAAGTCTGGGGTGGGGGTGCCACCCTCACGGTGACAGTGCAACGAGCTGTCACTTAGCCACAAGCCAGCCTGCCTCTTATAGGTGCTTCCCAAGGCGGAGGGAGAGAGGCACAGATGGGCACGCAGAGAGCTCCCAGCTGCTGGCTCACTCCCCGTCCTCAGCAGCCGGTGGGGGGCGGGCAGGGGCCAGACCACAACCCAGATCTTCCACATGCAGGACGGGAGTCCGCTGTAGCAGGGAGCTGGAGCCTGGCTTCGAACGCACACTCTGCCATGTATAATCACCAGGCTGACCGCCCATGCCCATGGGACAAGAAACTCCACAGACGCACGGCCACCTGGAGCCCAGGCCAGGCCTGCGAGCACTCCCCCGCAAAACAACAGCCGCCTCCTACCCGCTCCACCTGCTCTGGCTTGCAGCTGCCTGGGCAGGCAAAGCAGGGAAAGCCATGACAGCCTCGCCCTCGGGGGTGCCCAAGCAGGCCAGGGCAGGGGGTCAGCCCTGAGGGACACCAGGGAGACAGCAGAAGCTGCTGCGGCCCCCCAAGCAGCACTCACCCGAGGCAGGCACCACACTGAACAGCTCCCGCCCTGCTGACCCACAAGCAGAGATCGGGGCACCCCCGAGCACATCCAGCGGTGCAGTCAGGGAAAGGAGAGCACCCCCACAGAAAGAGAATGAGAGCAGCAGCAGGGCCAGCGTGGGACGGCAGACACCCAGCAGGCAGCCAGCACAGCGGGGAGTGGCCGTGCGGCCACGGGGTCCTACCTTGGACTTGCGGTCTGCGGCTGAGATGTCCCCAGCTCCCGAGAGATGCGAGGAGCCGCGGCCCCGACCCCGGCGGCCCCGGGTTCCAGGTCCCCCTCCCCGAGGCTGCTCGCTGGGGCTGCCTTCCCAGTTGCGGGGTGTCCGGCCCATGCCGGCTCGGTTGCCCTGCTGAGGGGACGTCCGACGCCCCTTGCTGGGCCCTGGTGGCCGAGGGGTCCCAGGTGACCTCCTGAAGGCACCCTGGTTCTTCTCCTGGAAGATGCGGTGAGGCAGGGAGGACAGTCAACAGGGAAGGGAGACCGGGCCAGGAAGGAGCCCCCCGCGTGGCCTCCCCGGGCCCAGCCCCCCGGGCCCAGCCCACGAACCACCTCCACAGTCAGGTTCTCCTCTCCAGAGCGGCCCTTCCGCGGAGCTGTCACCGCCACACCCTCCAGCTCGGCCTTCTTCCGGTCCTCCTCAATTTCCTAGGAGCAAGTACCCAGGGTATGGGGGTGTCAGAGACCCCACCCCTCTCCCGAGCTCCTGGCCAGCCCAGGCCATGCCAAGAGACCACTCTTCCCAACGCCCTCCTTGGCGCATGGCGCCCTGGCCCTGCCCCCCGAGGGCCTGCCCTGGCACCTCCCCGGCTTTCTCTTGCCCTCACTCCCCTCACCTACTCACTGTTCCCACAGCACACCAGGCTCAGGCCTGCCCCAGGACCTTTGCACCAGCCATTTCCTTGGCCAGGAACATGCTTCCCCGGTGAGCCTTGAACTGCTCAGCTCCTCCACTGCCCCTGCTCGAGGAGGCCTTCTGGAACCACCCCAGGCCCCCACGCTGTCCTCCACCTGCTGCACTCCCTGTGGTCCACCCCAAGCTTTGATCCCAGCCTGGCACGTGATACAAACTCCCAACCCCTCCTGACCTGTGTATGTGAATGGCGGCGGTGTGTGGGATGGAGGCATGGAACATGCTTCTTTGGGCTCCGTCCCCACAGCGGCCCCCTCACCCCAGGGCCTGAGCCTCGCACCCCTCTTCACAGCCCTGCCCCGAGCCAGGCCCCTCCTGCCGACCCCAGGACTGCGCCCTCCCAGCTGGGCCCCTGCAGCTCACAGCCCTCTGAGGCTCCTGGTGGCTTCCTTCACCCCAGCCTGTGACACCCAGGGCCCTGCGGGACTGGCCTCAGCGTGTCAACATCCCCAGCTTCAAGCTCTGTGCATCAGAATTTCCTAATTATTGACTTCTGTCTTATCTGAAAGTCAGTGAGAGAAACAAGGAGAGTGAGAAGGCTCCTCCATCCACTGGCTCACCCCCGGCTCCCATGAGCGGCACAGCCGGGACGCACCAGGAGCCTGGAACTCCGGCACGGCCGCTCTGCAGGTGGCAGGGACCATGTCTTACAGCCACCACCTGCCACCTTCCAGGACGCACACGAACTAAAGCTGGATCAGAGACCAAGAGGCCGCGGCTGCCGCCACCAATACCAGCCGTGGGCAGCCCAAGTATGCCCATCGTCCCTCCAAGCTCGCTGGTCCCCTCACTGTCCTGTCTGCCTGAGATGGGTACCCCCTTGCTTTTCTTCTGGCCAATGTCAACTTGAAGCCCTCCCTGGACAGAGCGCCCTGATCCTGCAATGAGCCCTGATCCTGCGGCTTGTCTCCCCTGAGGCTGCTCCAGGGAGGAAGAGCGTGGTGAAGGTTCGTGAGCGGATGAAGGAGTGCGTGATGGGATGAGGCAAGGACTGCGGGCTGTGATCTTGAGGATGGCGGGCAGGCATGAGCAGGCTGGCAGGCAGGCAGAGGTGAGGAAGACTCACTGCGGGGAGGAAGGGCTAAGGCACCTGGTAGCGCCGGATGAGCGCCTGGTTCTTCCGCCGCAGGGCCTCGATCCTCTTGTCCAACTCGGCATCCTTCTCCTCCTTGGATTTCAAATCCAGCGTGGCTGCCTGGGGCCGGGAGGCAATGAGAAAGGGACAGAGACGTGGCCACCCAGCCCAAGGCAACTCCAGCCAACATCTGAGTCAGCTCCCCACCCCACCCCACCACAACCCCCTCCCCGGAAGGCCCACACGCCCCACGCCCCACCTTCTGGCTCACCATCTTGCAAGCGAAGGCTGGACTCCCACCAATGCTCCCCTACACGTCTGGAGGCAGCAGGGGGTGTTCCTGGGGTTAGAGAGACGGAAGGGTTGAGGCCAAGGCCCATCAGGAGGCTGGCTCCCTCTCCCCCAATGGGGGTTCCAGGCACCCACACAGGGCAGCCACCTGCACCGGGAAACTCCTCCCTCTCCCACGCCCCTGCCCACCAACATCCTTGCAATATTCTGGCCCTGACCACTGCTTCAGGAACCTTGGGAGCCCCTAGGGACCTGCCTTAAACTCCCCAGGCTCCCCGAGCGCTTTCCAAGCCAAAGCTCCAAGGGTCAACCCCCCGGCCCCGCCCCCGCACCCAAGAACCCGGTCCGAGGGAACTTTCTCGTCCCACCCCTCCTGGCGTCCTTCCCGGCGCACAGATCCGATTCCCAGAAAGACCCGGCCCCGCCCCTCGGCTGGGATCATCGCTGAAGCCACGCCCCGCCTGTCGCTCCGCCCACACCGAGCCCTGCCCCCAACCGCCTAGGATCATCGCCGAGGCCACGCCCCCCGCCAGGCGCCAACCTGTAGCTCCGCCCATAGCCTCAGCGGGAAACCGTTCTGGCTCCGCCCACTGTATGGTCGGCCATCCCCGTGCAGCCAGGCCAGGCCCCGCCTCGCCTGAAGCCACGCCCCCAGTCACCGCCCTCCACCGACCCAGGCCCATAGCCACGCCCCTCGCCGCTGGCCCCGCCTCTCCCTGCCGCTGGCCCCGCCCCCCGCCGTCCGAGTCCCGCCCCGTCGCTGGCCTGGCCCCGCCCTCCGGCCTCCGGCCTCCCCTGGGCCGTCTGTCCGTCCGCCCGCCCCGCCGGCCGCCCCGCTCCGAGCCGCCCCAGGCCCCGCCCCGCCGGCCGCCCCGGCCACCTGCCCGCGGACCCCGCGCCGTCCGCCCCTCGGGTCCGTCTGCCTCCGCGTCCGCAGCTCCCGGGCCTGGCGCGTCACTTCCCGCCCCGCACCACGTGAGACGGGGAAATAAAAAGGCCCACTTCCGGCCCGCCGGCCCGTTTCCGGGAGCCTTAAAGGGGCCGTACCGACATCCATGGCCGGTCTTCCCTCCCAGCCCCGTTGTCCGGTCCAACAGAGATCGGGTCTGTGTGGGGTCCGCGGGGGCTGCAGGGCCTGGAGCTTGTGGAGTGACGCCCCGCCGGCGAGGCAGGTGCACTTCCGAGGACTGCTCCCCAGCCCGGCCGCTGTCCACTGTCCCTCACCACGCCAGCTCCCCAGCCCGGCCGCTGTCCACTGTCCCTCACCACGCCAGCACCCCAGCCTGGCCGCTGTCCACTGTCCCTCACCACGCCAGCACCCCAGCTCCCCAGCCTGGCCGCTGTCCACTGTCCCTCACCACGCCAGCCCCCAGCCTGGCCGCTGTCCACTGTCCCTCACCACGCCAGCACCCCAGCCTGGCCGCTGTCCACTGTCCCTCACCACGCCAGCCCCCCAGCCTGGCCGCTGTCCACTGTCCCTCACCACGCCAGCCCCCCAGCCTGGCCGCTGTCCACTGTCCCTCACCACGCCAGCCCCCCAGCCTGGCCGCTGTCCACTGTCCCCTACCACGCCAGTCCCCCAGCCTGGCCGCTGTCCACTGTCCCTCACCACGCCAGCCCCCCAGCCTGGCCGCTGTCCACTGTCCCCTACCACGCCAGCCCCCCAGCCTGGCCGCTGTCCACTGTCCCCTACCACGCCAGCCCCCCAGCCTGGCCACTGTCCACTGTCCCTCACCATGCCAGCCCCCCAGCCCTGCCGCTGTCCACTGTCCCTCACCACGCCAGCCCCCCAGCCTGGCCGCTGTCCACTGGCCCTCACCACGCCAGCCCCCCAGCCCTGCCGCTGTCCACTGTCCCTCACCACGCCAGCCCCACCTTGCAGGCCAGGGTCCTAGGGTGGGAGGCCCAGATGGAGCCCCTGGACTTGAGCCCTGGGCCTGAGCCTGCAGGTGGGCCACTCCCGCAGAAGGCTCCAGTCCCCGGGGGGAACGTTCTGTGGTTTTCCGCCTCTCTTCTCAATTTTGGGGTTGCCTGCAGAGCCCTGCCTACCGAGCCAGCAGCTCATCACTATAAAGTATGTTTTTCTTTCTTTTTGATTTTTTCTTCTGCATTTTTTAAAGATTTTTTTTTTTCCATTGGAGAGGCAGATATACAGCGAGGAGGAGAGACAGAGGGAAGATCTTCCGTCCTCTGGTTCACTCCCCAAGTGACCACAACAGCCAGGGCTGAGCCGATCCAGAGCCAAGAGCCGGAATCTTCTTCCAGGTCTTCCACACAGGTCCAGAGTCCCAAGGCTTTGGGCCGTCCTCGACTGCTTTCCCAGGCCACAAGCAGGGAGCTGGGTGGGAAGTGGGGCTGCCAGGATTAGAACTGGTGGCCATATGGGATCTCGGCGTGTTCAAAGTCAGGACTTTAGCCGCTAGGCCACCGCACCGGGCCCTCTTTTGGAGTTTCTAAATATTTATTTATTGACAGAGTGACAGAGAACAGAAAAAGGCAGAGATTTTCACTCCCCAAAATCATCCCGAGAGCTGGAGCAGAGCCACGCCAAAGCCAGACGCCTGGACCTTGGCCTGGGTCTCCCTCGTGGGCACAGGGCCAGGCACTTGGACCATCCTCTGCTGCTTTCAGATTGGCTCAGTTCCGGCCACTTGGGGAGTGAACCCTCAGACGGAAGATCTTCCTCTCTGCATATCTGCCTTTCCAATAAAAATGAAATAAATCTTTTTAAAAAGCAGACCTGGCGACGTGACCTAGTGGCTAATATCCTCACCCTGAACGTGCCAGGATCCCATATGGCCACCAGTTCTAATCCCGGCAGCTCCACTTCCCATCCAGCTCCCTACCTGTGGCCTGGGAAAGCAGTCGAGGACGGCCCAAAGCCTTGGGACCCTGCACCTGCCTGGGGGACCTGGAGAAAGAGGTTCCTGGCTCCTGGCTTTGGATCGGCGTAGCACTGGCCATTGCACTCACTTGGGGAGTGAATCATCGGACGGAAGATCTTCCTCTCTGTCTCTCCTCCTCTCTGTATATCTGCCTTTCCAATGGAAAAAAAAATCTTTACAATAAGAATATTCCAATAAGAATAAGTAAATAAATATAAATAAATAAATCTTAAAAAGAAAAAGTGAGGTGTGGGCCTGAGAAGGCAGGGCAGAGGACACCGGTGGGGAGTCCAGGCAGGCTCGGGGGGTCTCCCCTTGAGGAAGTGACATTTTGCGAGGCAAGAGTCCTGAGTGGAAGGCCAGGTGACGTCAGGTGAAGGTGGTGGCGCAGCATCCAAAGCTGAGTAATGTCGCTTGGGTTCCGTGGTGTAGTAGGTTAAACCTCCATCTGTGGTGCCGGCATCCCATAGGAGTGACAGTTTGAGTCCCATTTGCTCCATTTCCAATCCTGCTCCATGCTAATGAACCTGACAAAATGACATAGAACCTCCCCCCCCCGCAAGATCCTGCACCCAATGAGAGATTCTGAAAAAGCTCCATACCTGACATTGCGGGTATCTGGGGAGGGAACAGCTGACGGGAGACTTCTTTCTGTCTCTCCTCTGCAACTCTGCCTCTCAAATCTTGAAACATGAAATAATCAGCATTATTTCCTCGGCTTACCCTAAATTCCCCTTTGCCTACTTCGCTCCGTTTCCGTGTTAGAGGGGCAAGTGGAAGCCAGATGGCTGGGCCAGACTCTCCCTGTTCCTGCGCTCCAGTCTCCCAATAATTCACATTGTGCCACCCGAGAGCAAAGTCCTGCCTCCTGTTCTTGCTTCTCAGGGGGGTCAGGTCGTCACACGTGCATGACACACAGCAAGGTGCGCAGGGTGTGAGAACCGCACGACACCGCGTGATGAAGATCTTGTGACACAGGAGGCTCTCCCCTCAGCTGTCTGTGCCTTATACCCACATCCCAAGGCCGAATTCCATGAGTTCCCCTTGCCAAGAAATCACTCCCTGGACTCGGGGACTCCCTGCTTGTCCCCGGCTCGGCCACCAGAGGGCGATGTCCGCTCGCTCGGCGCCCCGCGCGCCTGCGCTGCCGCCTCCTGTCGCTAGGGGGCGGCGGAGTCTTGGCGTGCGCGCGCGCGCATGGCCGGGCTTGGGGTGCCTGGCGGGGCGACGCGGGCCGCGGGAGGAAGCTGATGAAATCCGAGCCAATTCGCAGTGAGCTCATCCCTTCCCGCCCGAGCGCCTCCGGAAGCTGCGGGGCCGCCCGGGCTGCTGAGGCGCGGCGGGAAGTCGGCCCGCGTGGGGCCTGGGGCGAGGGGAGCGAGGTTGACCCCAAGTTGGAGATCCAGGGCTCCCCACTTTCCGCCCTCGCCCCGTGGCCGCCTCCGATGGCGAGGAAGGGGAAGGTGATTTCTGAGCGAGGAAAAGGAGAGAGAAGCAGAGACCGAGCGGAGGACGGGGCTGACCCAGAGCGGTCAGGAAGGGCCAGGTCGGAGGGGCGAGGGGCGCGCCCGCCCTGCTGGAGTGAGGGACCCCGAGTCCCCCCAAGATCTCGAGTTGCCGCAGGAGGCGCAAAGCGCTCACTGGCGCGGCCGTAGCCAATCAGCGCGCGGCGCTGCTGTTCTCAGGCAGCAGGCTGGGATGCAGGCGCGCCTCCCCCATCCGCTGCCTCAGGTGGACGCCGTGCCACCGCGCACCCCCGTTCACACTGGGACCCCCGGGTGGACACAGTGGAATCGCACACCCCCGATCACACTAGGACCCCCGGGTGGACGCCGTGCCACCGCACACCCCCGTTCACACTAGGACCCCCGGGTGGATACAGTGGAACCGCACACCCCCGTACCACACTAGGACCCCCGGGTGGACGCCGTGCCACCGCGCACCCCAGATCACACTGAGACCCTCAGGTGGACGCCGTGCCACCGCGCACCCCCGTGCCACACTGGGACCCCCGGGTGGACGCCGTGCCACCGCGCACCCCCGTGCCACACTGGGACCCCCGGGTGGACACTGAGGAACCGCACACCCCCGTGCCACACTGGGACCCCCAGGTGGACACTGTGGCACCGCACACCCTCGTTCACACTGGGACCCTCAGGTGGACGCCATGGCACCTGACACCCACGGAACCACTGGGTAGACACCGTGACACCTCATACCCCATGTCACACACGCCTGCCCCTGTCACATGAGGACCACCAGATGGGCTCTGCCACACCCCCGCGCCACATTGGGACCCTCAGGTGGATGCTGTGGCACCTGACACAGCGTGTCCCACAGGGTGTCCCACAGGGACCACCGGGTAGACACTGTGACACCACACGCCCCTGTGACACACTGGGACCCTCAGTGGATGCCATGACACTTCAAACTCCGTGTCACCTGGGAACCACTGGGTTGGATGCTGTGGCTCCATTCACCACACGTGGTGGATGTTTGGGACCACTAGGTGGATTTGTGGGCCAGGTGACACCTCACGTACCAGGGCCCTCAGGTGGACACTGTGACACCTCACACTCCCCATGTCACAGCACCACCAAGTGGACACACATACCGCCTCACGGCACAGCGTCACACCCACTGCACACGCACACAGGACAGACACCCTGCCGTCCGGACACACAGCCTCTGGTCACTGCGGTAGCACGCGGACGCACTGCCCTGAGGCAAACATCACCCCCTTACCCATCACACCAACACCCAGTCCCCTCCCTGCACGGGCCAGAGAAAACTCCAGCGTGCGCGCACACACACGCACACCCGGCCGCGGGTCCTGCCCAGGCGGGCGGTGCGCAGGGAGGCGGGCGGGGAGGGCTGCGCCCCGGAGCGTGTTTGTGTGCGCTCCGCCGCCCCTCCAGTCCCTCCCTGGGGGCGGGACCGCGCTCCGCGCTGTTACCGGGTAAACTTCCCCGCCTCCCCGCCCCCCCACCAACAGCGCGGCCATTAGTCACCCCCCCCAGGATGACATCATCGCCTGATTCTGGAAGCTGAGTAATCCTCGGCTCCGCCCCCCCTCCCTCGCCAGGTACCCGGGCAGGGGCGGGGCCGCACCTGGGCTCCCCGCGGTCTGGGGCTGCACGCTCCACTGCCTCGGGTCTCCCCGGGGTGGGACTGTGGACTCTGGTGTAGGGACGCACAGCAGCGTCCCGAGAGGCAGAGCATGCCAGCCCCCGAGGTGGGGAGGGGCACCAACACCCCCAACACCCATGAGGGGGCTAGGACTGAAGTGGGGTGCGGGGAAGGGGTGCCTGCCAGGCTGGAACTTGCGTTGCGGGGTCCTTGGCCACTAGGAGGTCAGCGACCCCGATGTGGGTTGGGAGATGGGGTGCCGGGAAGTTGAGCAAGGAGCTATGAGGTCAGAGGCCCAGGCCCTGCGGGACCCACCTGCTGGGGCAGGGGGAATAGGGCTCAGAGGCCCAGGGAAGCAGGCAGGTGTCCGCTGGGAGGCCCTGCAGGTGCTCGTCTGGAGGAATGGATGCCACAGGGTCCCCAGGCTGCTGAAGGCGGGAAGTCCAGGGCCAGGAGGAAGCCCAGGGGCTCTGAGGTCACCCCCAGAAGGGCCCGGGACTGGTTCCTGGCGGGGAGGTGGATGGGGAGCACCAGCGTCCCCACTGAGTGGGGAAGAAGCTCCTGTGTTGTTTTTCAGGGTCCTGGCATGCCTGGGTTCTTTGGAGGGGCAGCCCGTCTTTGATGGGGCAGGGACGCCAGGGTTCACGCTCCTCAACCCCCCTGTGTTCCAGGCGTGAGTCGTGTTTGCTAGGTGGCAACAGAGTGCTCCTGTCCTCAGGCGTCAGGCAGCTCAGGGAGAGCAACAGCGAAGCCAGCGCTCCGTATTTCATCTCTGCCCATCTTCTGCCAGAGGATGCGGGGCAGCGCGGGGCTGCGGGGGAAGGGGTGGCGGAGGCGGCGGACGGTGCCCAGCCCGGGTCTCAGCCCAGCCGGCCTCAGGCTCGCAGGCCGCGCGCTCAGCAGCTCCCCCGGGCCCGGCTCCCCGCCTTCCCCCCCACTCTCGGCCCTGCGCGCGCCGAGGGCTCCCCCAGATCCGGGCGGGCGCCGCGGCGGCCAATGAACGCTCTCGCCGTCTCCGGGAGCCGGGCCGGCTCTGCCCGCTTGGCATTGGGCACGCGGTGGGCAGCGGCAGGCGGGGCTTGGGGGCTCCTCGCCCCTGGTTGGGCCAGGCTTGTTGCTGGGTAACGGGGCGGCGAGTCTCCCCTGGCAACGGCGGCGGGTACCGCTCACTGGCTGGCCGGGAAGGAGGGGGGGCAGGGCGCAGGCAAGTCCCGCAGACCCCAGCAACAGCGCGCGCCCCCCGCCCGCCGCCGAGCGGTAACCTTCACAGGCGCGCCGGCCACTCGGACCCTGCGGACGCCGCACCCCCCGCTGCCCAGCCTCCCGGCCTGCAGGGCGCTGGGGTGGTGGGGATGTTTTTTGGGGTGGGGGGCACCCAAGAGGACCCCTGGCCGCGGCGAGGGCCGGATTCAGGTCCTGCAGTGCAAAGTTAAGTCTTCGCCAACTCTGTGCCCGCACTTGTCCAGGAGATGCTGGGGGAGCTGGGGCACAGCAGCTGGCGAGAGGCTGGGTCCCCTGTGTCCCCCCAGCACTCCCAGGGGGCCTCCCCTCTCACCACCAGTGTGACACACAGCAGCTCTTCTCTTCTTGACCGTGTCCTTGTGGTGACCCCTTGCACGGACAAGCAAACTGAGGCCATGGCTGTGAGAATCCTGCTGATGGCGCTTTAGGACACTGTGGATGATCTAAGGTGGGGGGGTGGATCACCCAGGGAAGGGCTGTTTGCTGGCATCCGGTGGGAGACATGGGCACTATGACCAAGACAGTCCTACTTGCCACCCAGCAAGGCCTCCAGGGCCCCACATCCCATCTCAGCTCAGCCCGTCCACCTGCACTTCCGGCTGGGCCCTCATCCTGCTCCTCCAACTTCCTTTTGGTCTCCCCCCAACACACCCCCTGTCTCTCATCCTTTATCAGAGGCCCCTGTGGCCCCTTTGAGATGCTAAGTCCCTTGTCCCTTCCCAGGCAGCGTGACCGGGAGAACAGCCTGGAAGACTCCTCCACGATCCCGGCTAGGGAGACCAGTGTGGGGGTTAATCTGAAAAATGGAGTGCGGAGGTGGGGTCTACCCTCTCCTTATATTCCTAGCGTAGGGATCCCCAAAAGCACAGCTGGGACCCAGCCACACACTGGCTGTTAGCCACAGTCCCCAGCACTCCCCTATGACCTTAACCAGGCCCCTTTACGTCATGACCAGAGCAAATCTGAGGCCTCTAACTGGGGTGATAGGACACCGCCGGAAGGTGGGGCAGGGTTTGTGGGACACGCTGGGGAGGACCTTGACTGGTGACAACACTGATGGAATGAATGCCTCTTTGCTGATGGCCACCTGCAGCCCGCGCCGTCCGGGCTCCAGGCATCCTGGCAGCCAGGCCTGAGAGTGAGAGCGCTGATGGCAGCTCCCAGGGCTCCCATCCAGGCTGCACCTGCCCCCTCCGCACCCGGCGGCCCGCGGAGGGCAGCACGGGCAGTCCACCTTGTTCTGCGACCATGGTGGTTTCCGCATGCTACATGCCACACACGGCACCACGTGACGCCCATGAGTGAACACTCCAACATCCTTGAACTTGATCCACAGTCAGAACAGAGGCTTCCTTTGCCATCAGTATTAAAGGAGACTTTTACAAAATAATACTCACCAGGGGCCTTTAAAACATTGTATTCCATATTGTATATTTTGATTTAAAAAAAAAAAAAAAAACAAAACTCCGGTCAAGGGCCCAGTGTTATGGCACTGCAGATGAAGCTGCCTCCGGTAGCATTGTGGTCACATTCTGGCTGCTCCACTTCCCATCCAGCTCCCTGCCTGTGGCCTGGGAAAGCAGTCGAGGACGGCACAAAGCCTTGGGCCCCTGCACCCGCGGCATGGGAGACCTGGAGGAGGCTCCTGGCTCCTGACTTTGAATCGGCTCAGCTCTGGCCATTGTGGCCGCTTGGGGAGTGAATAAGCGGATGGAGGATCTTTCTGTCTTCCTTCACTCTTTCAAAAAAAAATAATAAATAAATCTTAAAGTAAATAAAATAAATCTTACACACACATGCTAAGTCAGAGTGTGGGATGCCCACATGGTCTCTGCAATGCCTGGGTGGGCTCCCTGCTCCCTTGCTGCACAGTCTAGCTTCTTGCTCATGACTCCCAGGCAGGTGGCAGGTGCCAGCTCCTGACCCTGGCGCCCTGCCAGCCACCTGGGAGACCCAGGCAGGTCCCAGCTTTCAACTTTGGCTTGGATGAATTGGGGGGGGGGAGGGGAATCTCTGACAAAAATAAAAACAAATTTTTTTAAAATTTAAAGCTTTATATTTCTAATGGAAAGACAGATATAAAGAAAGGAAAGACAGGAAGATCTTCCATCTGCTTGTTCACTTCCCAAGTAGCCTCAACAGTCGGAGCTGAGCCGACCGGAAGCCAGGAGCCAGGAGCTTCTTCTGGGTCACCCACGCGGGTGCAGGGTCCAAGGCTGTAGGATGTTGTCAACTGCTTTCCCAGGCCACAAGCAGGGAGCTGGATGGGAAATGGAGCAGCCAGGATGTAAATGGGTGTCCATATGGGATCCCGTTGGCTGCAAGGCAAGGATGTAGCCACTAGGCTACCATACTGGGCCCAAATTTAAAAAATGTTAAGAAGTGTTTAAAAACCAAGACCCACAGGAAGTGATGTCATGATGCATGGTTTGCCGGTAAGCCACAGTGGAAGAGTAGGAGTGAATGGATGAATGAATGATGCAAGGGCAGGAGGCTGGCTGAATGAGTCCCCAGTGTCTAAACTGGGACGGTGTCACAGGAGGGCTGCCCTGGCCCGCGTCCGGCTGCAGGTGCAGGCCCAGGCTGGCGCTCTGGTGTCTTTCCCAGCTGGCCGAGTACGGGGCTGGCCTAGCTTGTCAACTCAGCCTCCGATGTGCCGTGTGACAGGGTGGGACCCAGAGAGAAAGGAAAGTGGAACAGAAAATGAGAGTGGAACCCTCTGAGCAAGGACACATGTGACAGATGACCGCAAAGGGGGAAGGAAGTGGCAGGCTCAAAAGGAAAGGGAGCCCCAAGACTGGGTGAAATTTGGTGCAGGGTCTGCCCGGGCATGTCTGTGCCAGGTGCCTAGGCCCTCCGCCTCCTCGTCAGTCCGCTGCCAGATTGGTGGGCAGGGCACACAGACGCACCTACTCCAGACTGCTTTCTCCACGCGGGGCAGTTGGCAGGCAGCTGTTCCAGGTGGAACTTGTCAACTCCGCTTTGGGCTCTGGGGTCAGTTTCTCCCGTGTGTCTCCGAGGGTGCGTGTTGGGCGGCTTTGCCATGGTGGCCGCGGGGAGATGGCTCGCTCGGGCGTGTGCGCCCCTGAGGGAGTGTGGTGGGATCAGGTTGGGTGTGCAGGTTTGTGCGTGGTGGTGGGGTGTCTGCCTGCAAGTCTGCTTTTTCCTGGAAGCTCTCAGCCACCAGCCCCCTGCCAGGAGCCGGTTAGGCCCACTCAGGTCCGAGTGTGGGTGTCTGTGCGCAACTTTGTGTGTGTTCGCCCCTCGCCCCCTGCCCCGTCTCTTTTTGCCTCTTGCGTACTGGAGCTTCCAGCGTGTCTGGGGAGAGGAGCGGGGGGGGGGCTAGATGCGGGGGTCCAGCCGCCCCTGCCCCTGTCCAGGGTGCGCACAGGGGACACTAGGACTCCACACGCGACTCTGTGCACCCTGCAGCGCCGGCCGGCCGTGGGTGGCAGTCAGTGTGTCACTGTGTCACGGCCGGGGAGGGGTGGGGGTGGCCCCGGCGGCCCCGCCTCCCTTCTCTGCACCGGCCGCAGGGAAAGCCCCCCGCGCGGAGGTGGGGGCGCGGCGCGCGCCTGCAAGCCCCGACTTGTCCCCGGGCCGGCGGGCGGGGCGGCGCGTCCGGCGGAGGCGGAGCGTGGGAGCCGGCGGGCGGGGCGGGGCGGGGCGGCCCGGGACGCGGGCAGAGCCACATGCGAGCGGGTCCCCGGCCGCGGCGGCGGTGCTACGGAGCGACGCGAGCGGCGGTGGCCGCGAGACCAGCAGCAGCGACCACCGGCCCCGTTCCAGCAGCTCCGGCAGCCGCCGCCAGCGAGCGGCGCTCGGCGGGCGCGCCCTCCTGAAGGAAGCCGCCCGCCGCCCACTCGCCGCTCCCTCCGGCGCGTTCATGCCCCCGGGGTGAGTGTGCGCACCCAGACCCACAGCCTCCCCGGGGTGTCGATCGGCCAGGTCGGGTGGGCTTCCTGGAGGAGGTGACGGGACTGCACTTGGAGAGCAAGTGGCACCCCGCGCCTCCGTCCACTTTTCACGGAGTCGAGGCGGGGTGGTGGTGGTGGTGGTGATGATGGGGGGGGGTGCACCCCAAGCTGGCACGGCGGGGCCGGGAGGAGCGGGGCGCCCAGCCTGGGCTCACAGGTGCCTCAGCGGTCTGGCGGGTTTGTTTACAAACAATGGGGGTGCGTGTTCCGCAGCGCCTCCTGGCGGCCAGTGCGGCCCCGGGGAAGAGAGGCGACCCGGGGTAGCCCCGGTTCCCGAGGGTCCGGAGGGGCGTGGGGGGGCGGCGGCACCGAGGGGCGGCCACACCCAGGGCGCGCGCGCCCGCTGGGGGCGGCGACAGGGGGCGGCTCGCGGGCCGCCGAGTCTGCGGCTCCTGCGGGCGGGGGCTGCGCCCCAGCAACAGCCGGTTATTGGCCCCGCGCTCGCTGGGCGGGCGGGGCGGGCGCACGTGGCGGCGGGGATGGGGATGGTGGTGTTGGGAGGGGGCCTGTGTCAACGGAGGGGGGCGTCTGGGACGGCCGTGAGAGCGCGCGTGTGCGGGGTTGTGGATCTGCAGGTGTCTCGCCTTGGGTGTGTGCGCGTGTCTGGCGCCGAGTTTGCGCTGGGGTCCGCTGGGGCGGTGGGGGTAGTGGTGGTGTGGACCCAGAGGAATGTTGGGGCTGGTGACCGTCGTCGGGGTGTACGCCTGAGTGCCCCCACCCCGCCCCGCGTGCTCATCCCGTGGCCTAGGGTGAGTGCACCTGCCCAGCTGAGAGTTGTCTGCGCGCGGGCGCGCGCGCGGCTTGCGGGATTGGGGAGGGTGGCGGTGGGCGACTCGCCTCGGGGTGCTGTGTGGTTGTGGCGTGTGTTTACTGGGGAGCCTCTGGCCGGGCTGTGCAGCGTGTGTCTGGCCTGTCTCGTCTCTGGCTGGTTGTGTGTGTGTGTCTCCGGGGCACGTGTCCTTGCCAGGATGCGTCTGGCTGCTCGGTGCCCCGCCGCTGCTCTCCCGTGCAGGTTTCTTCTGAGTTCCAGGGGGTGGGGTGTGTGTTGTGTGTGTGTTTGTGTGCGCGCGCGCGCTCGCACATGGGGCTTGTCTGTGTTGGGCTGTGTGTCTGGTATCACTGTCTGGGATTGGCCGACCGAGGCACAGCGGGGTGTGTGCAGTGCCGCCGGCGGTGGGGGTGGGGGTGTGCTGCTGGCAGCCGAGCTCAGCCTGCGCGCGCGCGCGCGCGTGTGTATGTGTGTGTGTGTGTGTGTGTGTGTAGGGTCAGGTCTAAGGGGGTTGTGGCTGTGCTGGGCTGGCTCATGTGTGTCATGTGAGCTGCGTGTGTGCAGTGTTTATGTCAGTCACGTGAGCGCAGTGTTTTCTGTGCCTGCCTTAGGTGTGCGCGCTTCTGTTGCTGTGCGGGATTACAGTTGGCCGTGGGGTGTGTGTGAGTGGCTGCTGACAGTTAGGGATGGTGTTGGGATTGGCCGCCGGGCTTGTGGGGGGCGGGGGGCTGGCTGCTGACTGCTGAGGTGTGGCTGTCTGGTGCCTGGCCCCACGTGTGTGTGTGTTTTGGGGAGGTGCCTCTTACAGCCCTGTTTCCACATGTCTTGGGGTCTCAAAAGTTGGTGCCCGGGCTGGCGTGCACGCTGATGGCTATGTTATCTGCTGGATGTTGATTTCTGTGTGTGTGTCCTGGCGTGCGTTTGTGGAGGGTTTATCTGCAGGGTGTGTGTAAGACGGAGTGAGTTCTTTTGACAACTGCATTGTGTGTGCGCGCGCGCCGGAGGTTGCTGCACAGTGGAGTTGCCCTGTAACATTTCCATGGCGTGTTTCCTGGAGGGGATCGGATTGGGGCGTGTGTGTACATCCACACTTACGATGGTATGTGCTGAGTGGCAGTGTTCGTGAACAAGTGGCAGGTTGTGGTGCCCTTGTATATGTGTGTGTGTGTGTTCCTATACGCACCACAGCAGCCTTGGGAAAGTGACCCCCACGTGGGGCCAACCGCCCAGGTAGATGAGTCGGAGCTGGGAGGTCATCACAGCCACAGCGCACACACGCGTGGGCCAGGTCCTCCCTTGGGGGGGGTCTTGCTGTGCCACCTGGTCCCTGGCATGTGTGGGTCCGCACGTGCGCGCCCATGGCCCCCGTGCAGTCCCATTGCTGGATGTGTCTGCAGGTGGCACACACCTCCAGCTAAGTCCTGCATCAGTCCAGCACAGAGGGATGCGTGTAGTGGCGGGGGGAGCCCTGGCGCCCCATGCACTTGGCTGACCTCCTCTACTACGCTGTCCCGCAGGCCCCAAGGAGCGCCATGGCCCGCGCACGCCAGGAGGGCAGCTCTCCGGAGCCCGTAGAAGGCCTGGCCCGCGACAGCCCGCGCCCCTTCCCGCTGGGTCGCCTGGTGCCCTCAGCCGTGTCCTGTGGCCTCTGCGAGGCGGGTCTTCCCGCCGCCCCTGCCGTCCCAGCCCTGTTGCCCGCCGCCTACCTCTGCGTCCCCGCCGCCCCGCCCGCCGTCACCGCCGCCCTGGGGGGCCCCCGCTGGCTTGGGGGTCCCCGCAGCCGGCCCCGAGGCCCGCGGCCGGACGGTGAGTGCACGCCCCACGCCGCCCCCCGTGGCGGTGCTGGGAGCTGGGAAAAGAGGGGGGCCCAGGAGATCCTTAAGGGACCGGCGGAGGGGAGCGCGAGGGGAGGCGGGGAGCCGGGCCGGGCCACTGGGAGGGTGTGGCCAGCGTGGTCTTTGTGTGGCGAGAAGCAGGAAGCCGGCGCGGGAGGCCGGGGTGGCGGGGGAGGCGGCCGGGAAGTCCCTCCTGGAATCTGACTGCAGTCCCAGAGTGGCAGCCCACAGCCTTTTCCGGGTCTTGGGCTGCAGCTGTTTCCCAGCACCCCTTCCCCGCCAAGCTCCCCCCTGCGACCAGCAAGTTGGAAGCGGGGTAGGGGTGGGGGTGTGCGCAGTGGGGGGGACCCTCACCTCCGGACTTGGGGGAGGCGCCGCTGTTTGCATCCTAGGGGCGGGAGCTGGCCCTCTCCGGAGTGGGGGGCGCAGGCCAGGAAGGAGAGGGGGAGGGGCCATTGTGTTGGGAAAGTCCCCTTTGAGGAGAGAGGGTGCGTGGTGGGGAGGGGAGGGTTAAAGGTCCCCTGCCTGATGGGCTGTTAACCCTACAGCTCCCGGAGGGGGGGAGGGGGCTTCCTGGCCCATCCCCCCCATCCCAGAGTGTGTATATAGGTGTGTGGTGGTGGTGGTGGGGGGTGTTGTAAGGAAAAAGCAAACTTTCCCAGGTCAGTTCCTGGCAGGGGAGGGGGAGACCCTGATTTCAAGGCCCCCCTTCCACCCGGGATCCCACTGGAGGTGACTGGGGTGACCGAGGAGGGGCCCCCAAGGGGGTGGGGGTAGGAAGGCGCCCCCTCCCTCCTCCTGGGCAGGCTGTCTGGCCTCCTGGTCTCCAGGCCGCTGCTGCCACATCCGGGGGTGTGGCTTTCCTGGGGTTGGCCAGCCGAGGCTGGTGACTGGGGTGGGGTCAGGCGCTGTATCCCGGAGTGACCTTGGGCCCCTGCGCACGGCTGGGGCGCTTCAGCTGCCCCATCGGTGCAAAGATGGGGGCCCTAGGCCGCCCGAGAGGGAAGAGACTGCCCGGGGGCACTGCGGGGGCAGCGGGCCAACCCGGGGAGCCCCCAGGTTGTTAGCCATGGTGCCTCGGGGAAGGGGAGCAGCAGCCTGCAGGGGTGTGTGTGTGTGTTTGGTGGGGAGCGCAGGGGAAGGGAGGAACCGCTAGAATGTCCGGTGTGTGGTGGGGGACACGCAGGTGGGAGAAGGGCCGGCCGCGCCGACCTGGCCGCTGACCACACCCCTCCGCCCTCCCAGGTCTTCCAGCCTCGCCGTCCCCGGCCGAGCAGCACCTGCAGTCGCCCGTGCCCAGCGCCCCAGGGGCCCTGGAGGGCGGCCCCACCCAGCCGGCCCCGGGAGTCCGGGGCGAGGAGGAGCAGTGGGCCCGCGAGATCGGGGCGCAGCTGCGGCGGATGGCGGACGACCTGAACGCGCAGTACGAGCGGCGGGTGAGTGTTCGGTGGTGGGCAGGTGGGAGGAGGGGGCGGCCCCGCCAGATGTGGCGCAGCTGCCGGCGGGGTCGCGCCGGGGACAGGCCGAGGGGGTGGCGGCGAGGCCGAGGAGGCCGAGGCCCCGGCTGCGGGGCGCACTGAGGGCGGCGCTCGGTGCGGCGGCTCCTATATCCCCTGCTATTTATAGCGGGTGAGTCAGCAGCCGCGTCGGCCGCGCCCGCCGTGCGCGCTCGGGGGGCCGGACCCCGGGAACCCCGCCTCCAGCCGCCGCGCACGGAGAGGGCGGGTGGGAGATGGCACCGCGCGCGCACCAGCCAGCCCTCATCAGTTCGGAACATGACACCTGCAGTGTTTGCTGCTTGGGGAGGGGGACGAGGGGGTGATAAAACACACAAGATGCAGCTAGGAGAGAAGGGGTGCTGCGCCGGGCCCCTCTCCTGCAGGTGGCTGGCCGTCTCAGGCCCCGGGTCCTTGGGGTCGGGTGTCGGTCCCCCACCCACGCCGCTGCACGGCGCGCCCCCGTAGGAGCCCCAGGGGCCTTGGACCATTCCAGTCCGCTGCTGCCCTCCCCGCTCGCTTTCTCCTTGGTGTGGCGGGCCAGGCTGTGCGTTCCCTTTTTATTTACTCCTTTCTGCGGCTTTGAATGGCGGAGACCTTCCTCCCGCTGGTTCCGGGGAGCCAGGGGGAGTCTCCCGAGTGGGTGCTTAGAGCCGTCACCTGCTGACTTGGGAGGTGGAGGCGGGGCTTGCCGGCTGATTGGCAGCCCGCTCGCTCACCAGGTGGGCAGCAGGTGTCCGGAGTTGGGGGGATGTGGGCGCCCAGCTTGCCCGGAGAGTCTTGGGTACAGGGGCGCCGTTAGAAGTTCAGGACCGGAATCCCACTCCCCACCCACTAACCGCCCGGTTCTCTTTGGTCCCCAGAGACAAGAGGAGCAGCAGCGACACCGCCCCTCGCCCTGGAGGGTCCTGTACAATTTCATCATGGGACTTGTGCCCTTACCCAGGGGCCATGGAGCCCCCGAGATGGAGCCCAATTAGGTGCCTGCACCCGCACGGGGGACGTCGGGGACTCGGGGGGCAGGACCCCCTCCACCCCCACCCCGCCTTCGGGACGAACTTTCTGCACCATGTAGCATACGGGACTCCCGGCCCTGCCCGGCCCCGGCCCGGGTGCACCGACGGCGGACATGGCTGAACCCGGCGGCGGGGACCGAGAGGGGTGGGGACTGAGCCGCCCACCTCCGCCGCCCACCACCATCTCAGGAAAGCCTGCTGCTGGCCTGCCCGTCCCAGCCGCAGGGTGACACTGGGCGCCTCTCGGCCCGGTTGCCCCTCCACTTCTGGGCCTGATCTCAGCAGGCCCCTGGTGCTTCCCCCCCTCCCGCTCCTGGGGAGGGGGCCCGTGAAGAGCAAATGAGCCAAACGTGGTGACCCCTGGCCTCCCCGGGCGCCCCCCTCCGCACCCAGCCGCCGCGTCCCTGAGCCAGCCGGCGGGTGGTGGGCACGCCTGCCTCCCCGCCATCTGGGGGAGGCCAGGAGGGGGCCCAGACTGTGAATCCTGCGCCCTGCCCGTGCCCACCCCGCCCCGTCCCCATCAGTCCCATTGCATAGGTTTAGCGAGAGCACGTGTGACCACTGGCATTCATGGGGGAGGGAGGGGGAAGACAGATGCCGCCCCAGCCTCAGCCCCCCAGGGCCCGGCGCTGGGGGAGGGGGAGGGCGTCCGGGAGGGGGGGTCTCGGAGGAGGGAGGAGTCTGGGAGCGGGGGGAGGGTGGCCCGGCCTGTAAAATACTGTATATGCGCTGCTGTAGATACCGGAATGAATTTTCTGTACATGTTTGGTTAATTTTTTTTGTACATGATTTTTGTATGTTTCCTTTTCAATAAAATCAGATTGGAAGAGTGAGTGCTTTCTACCCACCTTCCCCACCCTCCCCTCCCCCTTCCCCATCCCCCATCCCTCTCTCCCAGGCCAGGCCGAAGCCAGGAGCTGCTTGCGGGTCTCCCATGCAGGTTGCAGGGACTGGAGGCATCCTCTTGCTTCCCCGGGTGCAGCACAGGGAGCTGGGTGGGAAGCAGAGCAGCCCCGCCCCCGGGAGCCTGTTGTGGGGCAGGTAGAGGTCAGTTCCCGTGCTGGCCACTCCAGCTCCCTGCTTCTGTGCCTGGAAAGGCAAGGGAAGATGGCCTGGGTGCACCGGCCCCTGCTGTCCTTGGAGAGACCAGGTGGGGGTGCAGCACCGAAGCTCTGAGCTGGCCCAGACCTGGCTCCATTTTGGGAGTGAAACAGACGGAAAATCCATACATTGTTTAGCATTTCACACACGCGCGCACGCTCCCCTTCACGCTGCTTGGCTAGGGTTCAGCCCCTGCTCTGAAGGCCAGCCAGGAGCTTCTGGGCCTCCCACCCGAGTGCAGGGTCCCAAGGCTTTGGGCCGTCCTCTACTGCTTTCCCAGGCCACAAGCAGGGAGCTGGATGGGACGTAGGGCAGCCAGGATACTAAGCAGAGCCCATATGGGATTCGTGGTGCATGTAAGGTGAGGATTTAGCCACTAGGTTACTGCTCACGGCCCCTCAAACAACTTTTTAAAAACTCATACATATTTTTGGGTCCAATGCGGTGGCCTAGTGGCTAAAGTCCTTGCCTTGAGTGCACCAGGATCCCATATGGATGCCAGCTCTAATGCTCTATCTTTCCTCCTCTCTGTATATCTGACTACCAATGAAAATAAATCTTAAAAAAAAGTCATACATATGTTTAAAAACATTCCATGTTTATTCCTCATTCTCAGGATTCAATTCATCCAGAAATGCCAAGTCTCCCCCTGGTATCATTTCCAGTAATGTATCCTACAGTGCATTTCTGGTTTATTTGGAGCCTCCTATGCCGGTATCTATAAGGATATTTTCATTGATTATAGCTTCAGGTGGCCTGTTCTGTTTCAGCTGTTTTTATTCCTTCACATCTGAAAGGCAGGCTGAGGAGGAAGAATCGCCCAGCAGCTAGTTCACTCCCACAGATGGCCAGAGCAGCCAGGCCGAAGCCAGAAGCCTCAGACACACCCAGGTGTGGCAGGAACCCAGCATGTGGGCCACCTTTGCTTCTTCGGGCTTGTTAGCAGGGAGCTGGATTGAGGTGCAGTGGCTGGGACTCAAGCCAACACTCAGGTGGATGCCAAGGCCACCAGTGGCTGCTTAAACCCACCACACCACAAGACAAACCCTTCTTGTTGCCATTTTTAAGTCTTGTCAAAAGCCACCTGCTGGGGCTCGCATTCGGCCTTGGAAAATGCTGGTTAGGACCCTTGCCAGCCCAAGTGTACCCCGGGTAGAAGCAGGGGACTGCATCGATGGCTGACTCCCTGTCACCCACGGGGGAGGCCTGAGCTCGCCAGGGGACATCTGGAAGTGAACCAGCACTGGAAACCATCCAGAGCTCTGCTTAAATAACCCACCTGCTTTTGTCTGCCACCATCGAGAACCTGGGGCCTCTCAGGGGCTCAGGTCAGCACTTACTTACAGGAGGGACCCGGGAGGTGGGCACCGTGCACAAGCGTACAGAACCCGCCCCTGGTTGTGCTCATGACGCGTTGGCACGCCTGAGGGCCCTCGGAAGGCCCCAGTGGCCGGGCGTCTTTCCCTCATTGTTGAAGCTTCTGGTTTTCCCTTGTGTGCGACTCGGGCAGCATCTCTCCCTAGAATGTTCTGGGGCTGTGACAACCCCACTGTGTCAGGCAGCTTGGTCTGGCACACCATACTAACTGCAGCACTGGGCACCAGGCCCGAGGCCGGGAGCAACTCGGACCTCCCACTACACCCTGTGCAAGGTATACCGCCTCTCCCGGGTTAATCTCCCAGTGCCTCCCCAGGCTTCGCTGGCCACTGCACTGTTGGGGTGTGCGGGCAGCTTCTAGCGCCGCACCGGGGGGTCTCCAAGAGCTCCCACTTGGGCAAGCTTCACCTCGGTCCACGCGGATTCACCTGCGCCCCCTGGTGGCCAGCGCCCCACATGGCAAAGTCAAGGGCCCAGGGAGGTTGTGTGGCGGGAAGATGCCCGCCAGCCTGAAGGTGCGCGCAGGAGTCGGGACTTCCTGCCATGAACGTGTCCCCAGCCACACGGAGCCACCTGAGCTGCACAGTACAGGGCCTGAGCGATGAGCCACCACACGCCAGCCTCACCAGCTTCACTTCTCGACCTCGCTCCTCATAGTTCTTTCACATACATCCAACAGGAAGCTCCACAGACACCTGAGCAAGGTACCACAGGTCCCTGAGCAAGGGGGCGCTCACTGCCCAGAGGGCGGCAGGAGAGGGTGAGGGGCCCCAGCAGAGCAATGGCAGCCACCTGGCTAGGTCAACCATCTGAAGTTCCTGAAGACAAAACACGCCACGTTGGACGCAAACAACTTTATTTCCATTATCCCTTTCTGAACAACCAGGGGAATCTAGAAAACATGTAAAATACAAACAGCTGTGGTTCGGGGGGCCAGGCAGGGGCTGCCCCTGGGAGGACCCTGCAACCCGCCCCTGCTTACACTGGCTGGGGATGCCACCCGGCTCCCATGACCCGGGCTGGAACGTGGCTAATCCTAACTGAAAGCGAGCAAGGGCCACCTGCTGTTTTGCAGGCTCTCCAGCCTCCGAGCCGCCATGTCCCCTCTGCAAGTGGCGGTCTGAATGTGTCCCTGGGCCTCACTCCCCACCTGCAGGGGGGACGTCAAGCAGAGAGGGTCCAGGGCGTGGCAGGAGGCTCTTGGGCAGAGGCAAGGGTAGGCTGGTACCACTGCTGGCTACAGTCCTACACAAAGGTGTCAGCATAGCTCCGGAGCGGCATGAGGTGGGGCTGGCACCACCCTGTGCCGGAACCACTACACCCAGGCGTGCAGCTCACTTGGGGCCGAGGCACTCCACGACGCCGCTGCCCTTCAGGCCGTCGAAGAAGAAGAAGTTGTTGTGAGGCGGGTCCCTCTGAGACAGAGCCTGGGGGAGAATCAAGGAGTCATTCAGGCTGCAGCCAGATGGGTCCCTCACTCCCGTGAAGGCTGTCACCAGGGCATGACCCGGGGCCTGAGCAAGGGGACCTGACACCTCTGCCAGGATGGCCAGCACACAGGGCCCATCACCCACGGGAGCACAGCAGCGCTGGCCCACACAGGGCCCATCACCCGTGGGAGCACAGCGGCACTGGCCCACACAGGGTCCATCACCTGTGGGAGCACAGTAGCGCTGGCCCACACAGGGTCATCACCTGTGGGAGCACAGCAGCGCTGGCCCACTCAGGGTCCATCACCCACGGGAGCACAGCGGCGCTGGCCCACACAGGGCCCATCACCCATGGGAGCACAGCAGCGCTGGCCCACACAGGACCCATCACCCACGGGAGCACAGCGGTGCTGGCCCACACAGGAACCGTGCGGTGACATTCAGCCACATGTGAGGTCACTAGGACACAGCAGTCCCATGGAGACAGGTGACTGCTTCCTCCTGGGGACAGGGGTTCCCTGGGGCTGGGGCGGGCGAGGCCACCACTTGGAAGGGAAGTGCTTGGGACGCCCTACGCAGCTCCCCCTCACAGCGTCCCTCGGTCAGAGGCTGGCACGCAGTGGCCCCTAAGCACCTGGAGCTGCCCCCGCTGGAGGGGCAGAGGCTGGTGCTGCGGCCTGCAGGCGTGGACACAGAGCAGGCACGCCACAGCCGATCTGGGTACTGGCAAGGTCTGCGGGGGCGGACAGATGGAAGGAAGTTCCGGATGGCCCGGAACAGGTGCTTCCGTCTGCCCTCCACCCCTCCCCCAGCTGGAATGGGGACACTCACGGGGTGAACATGGGGCAAAAGGTAACATGCCTCCGAGCCAGATGGGGAAGGAGATTCCAAACACACCCAGCTTGGAGAATGCAGAGTGTTCTGGCTATCTGGGGGGGGACTGCTGACAGCTGCCCCGGCGGGGGATCGCACATGGGCCGGGATGCCGGGAAGCCATGGACAACAATGGGGTCAGGGCCACCTGCCCCAACTACCACGTCCCGCCCACACACAGTGAGGCCGAGGGGGCAGGGCGACAGCACCTGGGGCACGGGTCACACAGCAGACAGCCTGACACCTGCTGGTTGCACTGCCTACTGCTGTGGGCCAGCAGAGCAGCTCCAGGTTCCTCCAGTACAGGGACTGGAGCTCCCCCGGGAAGAACAGGCTCTGCTCGGGGAGGCCACCACACCGGCCAGGACAACGTGCGTCCCCGGCCCCGAGGCTCTGCATGGCGACCCTCGGCCAGGCCGCAAGTGTGAGCCTGGAAGCCGGAAACCATCGCATACTCCCTGCCCCGCGTCACCACAGCAGGTCCCACCTGAGCCGAGGGCCAGAAAAGAGCAGGGGTGCGGGAAAAGGAGCCTTAGGAAGATGGGGGAACAGATACCCGAGTCCAAGGACCTCAGAGCTACCCTGCAGATGCCCCAGACAGCGCAGTGACGGCCTGGCCTCCACGCTGTCCTGCTAGGCTCAAGGTGGACACGGACAAGGGCTTGGAAAGACTTGCTGGGCACAGCTCTACCCATCACTACACATCCCGTGAAAGGCAGTGTACCCAGCGAAGGAGAGGCGCCTGGGGGCTGTGCTCAATGGACCCAGTAACACGGGAGGGCCTCGAGGGCTGGGGCTCCTGGCTAGGGCACAGGGCTGCCACACCCCCGTGGACAGCGACAGGCCCCTCTGGCCTGGCTCACCGGGTGCCTGGCAGCGAGGGCGGCCCCACAGGCAGGATTTGTGGGCCTCAGTGGCCGCCTCTTAAAGGGGCATCCAGTTCATGAGGCTGTAAGAAGCAGACTGCCAGCTAACACCCTGACAGCAGACCATGGACAGGCGAGAGCGAACTTGACTCATCTCTGCCCAGCTAGCATGTGGCTGGGGCGGGCGAGGCAGGGCGCCCAAGGACCAGTGGGTAGGAGAAGGCGGGTGGCCCCTAAGTCAGGCTCCCATTCTCCCTGCCCAGAGCCCACGCCAGGGCAGGCAGGGCCCCCTCCCCCCCACCAGTGCGCCCTTTACCTTCACAATTTCCTGAGCCAAGATCCCACCGACCACGGCACACACGGGAGCCATCTCGGAGAAGCAGTGCCTACAAGAGAGGACAGAGCGGGCCGTGCTGGCTGACTCCCCAGCGGGGCGGGATGAATGCTGACCAGGGAAGGCAGTGGGGGTCATCAACGGGGGAAAAGACCTCTGAACTCTAGCAAGGAGCTCTTCCACATTTCCACTCCCCCCTCCTTTAATTTAAAGGAGAGAGTATTATCGGTGGTTCCTAAAAACAAGATCCTACGAAGTAACAAATGTTCCCGTACCGGGTCACGGTCACATTCCTATAATTCTCTTCTGACCCCAGGCGGGTAGGGGGTTCTATCTGGGACACATGGCAGGGAGCTCTGGGCACCGGCCACCCCCAACACCAAGCGCCCTCAGTCCACACAGCGGGCAGCAGCCCTCTAGACTAGGATGGGGTATGTGGGGGGACACACGGCCAGCAGATCCCATCACCGCCTCATCACCCACCTGCAGTGGGCAGCGAAATACGCTCTTCCACCACGGCGTCAGAGAAGCGTGCTTTCCCAGACACCTGCTCACTGAGACACCTGGCTCACAGGGAGGCGGGCGCTTTCCTGAAGGAACCCCCTCAGACCTTCCAGGGAGTACACCCATCTAGATACCTGCATTCTATTTTCATTTGAATGGCAGAGTTACAGAGAGAGGGAAGATACAGAGTGACGGAGAGATCTTCCATGTGTTGGTTCACTCCAAGCGGCTGCAATGGCGGGAGCTGAGTTGGGCCACAGCCAGCAGCCAGGAGCTTCTTCCGGGTCTCCCACTCGGGTGCAGGGGCCCAGGTACTTGGGCCGTCCTCTAGTGGGGAGATGGATAGGAAGTGGAGCAACCAGGATTTGAACAAATGTCCATAGGGATGCTGGTGCCACAAGAAGAGGCTTAAAGCTGCTACGTTACAAAGAGCAGCTCAAACTACTGCCTGCGGTGCTGGCATCTCCTATGGGCACCGGCTCCCATCGTGGCTTCTTCACCGTCCCATCCAGCTCCCTGGGGATGCACCTGGAAAGCAGCGGAGAATGGCTCAAGGGCCTGGACCCCCGCACCCACATGGGCCACCCGGACGGAGCTCAGGGTGTCAGCCTGGCTCAGCACCAGCCAAGACATTCACTTCTCAGTCTCACCAGGCACTGTTCACCCCCACAGGTGCAGATCTGTCACTTTCACTCGATAATGTTTTGTTTAGATCTGTGGCTATTTAACAAACAGCAACAGAACATTTCCACTGCTTACTGTTTTACATGATAAGCTCGACCCCTTTTAAAGGAATATCTGAAACTTAATATTAAGTCTAAAGCCAGGAGTAAACAGGCCAAGCCGTGGGGTTGGCCTCGGTTGGGCTGGCGGCGACAGCGACGATGAGGCTTTCCCTCCTTTCACGCTTCCTGTGGCCTGGGCATGTGTCACTCTCAATCAACCCAGCAACAAAGCTCCGTGACAAGAGGAGGGCCGAGGCACGGGGCAGCACGGGGCAGCGCGGCAGCCGCTCTCCAGCTGATGAGGGAGCAGGGCTCTCGGCGACACTGGCCCGCCATTGCAAGGGCAGCTCAGCTGCGAGGCGACACAGACCTCAAGAGGCCACCAAACGGCTCTTACTTCAAAGGCAATAGAGCAGGAGCAGCCGAGTCCACGGGCCACAGACAGCGGGCAGGGAGGGGCAGCGGGCTAACGGCGGGGGGCTGTGTCTCTGGGTGCAGCGCCTTGAAGCTGGCTGGCCGGCTCTACACAGGACGGGCCATCATCATCCGAAATGCTTAAATGAGATTGCCAGCAGCACCGCACAGCCAGGTCCCCGGCGCCGGGCACCAGGGATGCTCAGTGGCTGGACTGGCTGGGCCTGAGAGAAGTGACGCCTACATAACCCAGTTCTTCCGCTGTGGGGCCAGCCTCCAGGTGCGCCCAGCGTTGGAGGGACACTGCCCAAGCCTGCAGTCACCGGTCACTGGCCTAAGGAGCATGGAGTGCAGTGCCTTCGCCAGCCACTGCCCACCAGGCCAGCACTCTATCAGAGCACAGGTTCAAGTCCCACCTGCGTTGTTTCGCATCTGGCTCCCTGCTCAATGCCCTGGGAGGCACGGAAGGGGCCCAAGGCAAAAATGTTCCCTATCAAAAAATGATGCAGGATCTTAATATTTTCTGCATCAAAACAAATTTACCCTTTCACTGGGTTTCCCGTTTAGCCTCACAGGTACTCTCAGACTGCACAGCCACCTCCTGGAGTGCGGGGCCGGCACAGCTCATTGTGCCACTAGCCATGTCCACCGGCCCCTAGCACCAAGGGAATGGGCTCAGACCCTGACTCCGCTCTCGACTCCAGCTTTCAGCTGCCGTGCATGCTGGGACGCAGCACTGCCAGTGCTTGGGCCTCTGCCATTCACATGGGAGACCCAGGCCGAGTTCTAGAATCCTGGACCAGTTTGGGATGGGGTGCTCATGTGGGGAGTAAACAAGGGGATGGGAGATCCCTGTCTGCCTTGGCAACAAATAAAACATCAAGCAGCAGCAGATGCCCAATCCAACAGCTGGGCCCGAACAGCTGCTCACTGTAGCTGCTTTCACCACTACTGCAGTCACACCGCAGGGCAGGGCGAAGGGAGCCGCCCCAAGACCAGGAGAGGGAAGGGGAGTGGGCAGAGGACCCCAGGCCTGCGCTGATGGGGTCATGGCCTGGCCACCATGTGCCGATGGGTGAAGCAAGGCCAGCTGCCTTAGCTGGAGGTGTCCTGGTGCTCAAGACAGGATGAAGCTGGGAGCGCAGGCCTGTCTCTGCTAAAGGTACCAGAGGGTAAGCCGTGACACAGCTCAAACAAAACCCCTCCTCGGGAGCCAGCAGCCCCCTTGACAGGAGCTCACTGCGCAGGACTGTCCCCACACTGGAGTTCTATCCAGGTGGAAAGGGGGATGTGTGTCAACTCGGCCCAAATCCACAACACCCCCCGCCCCCCAGGTTCATGTGAACAGGCCGAGTCAGAGCTGCACCCACAGATCTCTGCCCTGCGGCCTTGAACCTGGGACCTCCCAGTGAGTGACAGCCAGCAGGAGCGGCCGCCGGCCGCCCAGACGCACCTGACAAAGTCGTCAGGCAGCAGGTCGGGGCTCACGCCCAGCGCGTCCAGCACGTCGTTGCGGATCTGTAGCAGCAGCTCGGCATCCTCGGCGCACGTGTCCACACTCGGGTCCCGTCCCTTGTCCGTGCGGAACTTCAGGAGCACTGGGGGAAGGGACAGGAAGCTGGGTCAGGAGGCCGCTGTCCACCCGGCACGCTGAGCACGCCTGCTTCTCCCGGCGTCCAGGTCTGCAGGCAGCAGCACAGCGGGGAGGTGGCAGTGAAATCTGCACTTCACCTTGTCAGAACAAGGGCTGTCTGTGATACGCTACAGGATCACAGGTCACCTGGTCACCTGCAGCCCTGAGAGCGTGGTGGTGTGCGTCGGGGGAGCCAGGGGAGAGCGAAGGAGAAGTGCCCAGCAGAGGTCAAGGGCCTGTGCCCCGCCAGAAGCAAGGTGCGGGGCGGGGAGGGGTGTGTGTATGCCAGGCCTCAGGTCACAGGGCAAGGCCTGCCTGGCACGAGACTGACCCTGCCAACGCTCACTGCAAACACAGCTGCCCTTCTCTCCGTGGCTGCATCGACTTCCCGCAACGGGATGTTTCATCTTGCCTGTGACCAGGAAGCCAGCTTTGGAGCCAGTTACAAGGAACACGTACCATGCAGGGAGACCCCAACAGGGCAAAAAGGGTTAGCCTAAAGCAAGGGGCGGACGCGGACATTCTGACTGCCCCGGGTTTCCACCGCGGTCACCTGTGCGCCAGGTGGGCAGGCAGTGCTGCAAGCTCGCTTTCCGCTGGGCAGGGGACAGCGGGCCCCATGCATCCCTCGGGTAGCGCTTGCATCCCCACATCACGCAGGCTCTGTCAGAGCGGAAGGAGGCGGGTGGGGAGTGGTGCTGGACTGAGCCCCGTGCTGTGGGCCAGCCCCTTACTGCCAGGGAGGCTTTTCCAGGTTACAAAGCACTTTTGTCCTCAACTCATCAATACACACTTACTTAAAAAGCAAACACTCAAGTGGCAAACTACGTTCTTTATTGGTACGAGCAGTGCCTCTCCCCAAACCACAAGCACGAGGCACCTGGCCTGGGAGCGGGCTAAGGACACTTCAGGAAGTCTGCAGCAAAACCCAGGCCGGCCGGAGCACGGAGCACCGCCTGAGGCTGGGGCTGTCACTCTCTCCTTTCTCCAACAATGTAACTTCTAGAACTTTCAATTCTACCTGAACCTTCAGCACCCAACTGAAAGCCAGGGGCAGCTCGATGCTGGCTGGTAGTGACCTGCCACCCCTGGAGTAGGACACTTAACGGGGCAGCTGTGCGGCTCGCACCCCACTTGACAGCCACAAATGCAGGCTGAGAGGGCAGCCGTGACAGTTCCTCCCAGCTGGGCTCGAGTTCCCCTCCCCGCCTCGTCCCCCGACAAGGCATGAGCTATGTACTGCGAGTGCAGGCGGGGAGCAGGTCCCCCGAGTGCAGGCGGGGAGCAGGTCCCCAGGCCAGCGGGAGAAGACTGGCATCTGTCCTGCCAACCTCTCCTGAGAGCCTATGGCAGCGAGACTCGGCAGATAACAGAGCCGATGCCCAACACAGGCTGGGGGCCCGGGGCTCAGTGGCAGCCATGTGGAAACCAAGGGAGGCAGCTTGCTTTCCTGCAAGGAAAAGGAGCGGGTGGCGGTGGGAGCCCGGTCCGACTCCTGTCATTGCAGTGTTACTGGGACAGAAGCACCAGCATGGCCACCAGGGATCAAAAGTGGGGCCTGTCAGGAAGCAGCCTCCCGTGAGCCAGCCCCGCGCTCCAGCCGCACCACCAGCCTGGGGACTGCCCGCTCCACGGAGCAGCAAGCTGAGGTTTGCAGACAGTGACCTGAAGAAACACCAGCTTGGCTCCACCGGCTGCCTGCCAACCCTGGGGACACCCCCATCAGTTCCAGGAGACAGCTGGAGGTGGAAAGCAGATGCGACCTTGCCCATCTATCTTTGGGGTGATGCCCCTGGGTGTGCTGTAGTTTGTTTGACCCCGGGCCGGTAGGCTGGCACCCTCTGCATACCCTGCTGAGCGCATCTGAAATCCTCCCAGGGCTTCTGGGAAGGGGGCCAGGCAGGCAGCAAAGCAAACAGAAGCTGTCTTCTCCACTCCTTTTCAAAGGTCAGCATCCCAGGGAGCAGAGGTGGGTGGGAGGGGACGGGAGCCCAGGACGGGGCCCAGGACGGAGCCCAGGACAGAGCTCAGGACAGGAGCACAGGACAGAACCCAGGAAGGAGCCCAGGACGGGAGCCCAGGACGGGAGCCTAGGATGGAAGCCCAGGACGGGAGCCCAGGACGGGAGCCCAGGACGGGAGCCCAGGACGGGAGCCCAGGACGGGAGCCTAGGACGGAGCCCAGGACGGGAGCCCAGGACGGGAGCCTAGGACGGAGCCCAGGACGGGAGCCCAGGACGGAGCCCAGGACGGGAACGCAGGACGGAGCCCAGGACGGAGCCCAGGACAGAGCCCAGGACGGAGCCCAGGACGGGAGCCCAGGACGGGAGCCCAGGACGGAGCCCAGGACGGGAGCCCAGGACGGGAGCCCAGGACGGGAGCCTAGGACGGAGCCCAGGACGGAGCCCAGGACGGGAGCCCAGGACGGAGCCCAGGATGGAGCCCAGCCCTGGCAAGCCCTGCTTATTGAACTCCCCGTTTGTGCTGCTTTCCGTGACGGCTCCCAAACAGCCAGACACCCGTGGCTCTGACCCGCTCCCGCAGTGACCCACACATGACAAAAGCATCAGAGAGCCACTCGCTTGGCCCCGTGCCTTGTGGATTCACTGAACTTCCCTGGACCCTGCTGTGACAGCCAGCTGCCAGAGGTCTGGGACTGCCCACTCTGCACAAAGCCAGCTGCAAACGGCCTCCACGTGAACACAATGCCACCTTTGCCAGAAAATCCAAACACTCAAATGCAAATCGAATCAGAGCCCGGACCATCTGGTTACTGGTGTAAGCAGCCTAGGAAACCGGCAATACTTCTGCCAACCTGCTATTGTATTCAACACCGTGATTCCGTGTAAGGCCACCAAGCCACAGCGCCACAGGTTAGTCCCTAACCCACCTGCTGCCCTCAGAAACAGCTCTCCTTGAGGCTGGGCCTCACTCACCTGACTGATGCCCGCAACACTGCTTGCCAGCACGTCCTGGCCCCGGAGCGCCCTGGCCTAGCGCCCCTTCTTTCCCCAGGCTAATCACTTTTTGCACACTCACAGTCTTTGGAATAGCCTGGAAATCTGTTCAGGCCTGCTTCCCACTCCTGCCAGGCAGCAGCACACCGGAAACTCTGGGGCTGACCCAGACTCAACGGCTCTCTCCATGAACGCACACTAGGACAGAATGCCATGTCCCACAGCCAAGGGCCCGAGTTCAACACTGCCTCAGGCTCCTGCCCCGAATGCGCGCTAACTCATCACTGGGGAGCAGTGGGGATGGCACCAGTAGCTGGGTGCCTGCCACCCACCTGCGAGACTTGGGCTGCGCTTTCTGGATCCTGGCTCTGGCAAGGCCCAGACGCTGCCATTCTGGGCATTTGGACAGTGAGCCAGCGCAGCTTGCTCAGTCTGCCTAGCTCTCAACTAAAACAAATGCTCTTTTAAAAAAAAATAAGGTACACTAGGGCTGGTTGGCTAATCCTCTGCCTTAAAGTACCAGCAAGGGCAACAGTTCATGTCCCAGCAGCTCCACTTCCCATCCAGCTCCCTGCCTGTGGCCTGGGAAAGCAGTCGAGGACGGCCCAAAGCCTTGGGACCCTGCACCCGCGTGGGAGATCCGGAGGAGGCTTCTGGCTCCTGGCTTCGGATTGTCTCAGCTTCAGCCATTGCGGCCGCTTGGGGAGTGAACCATCGGATGGAAGATCTTCCTTTCTGTCTCTCCTCCTCTATGTATATCTGCCTTTCCAATAATAATAAATAAATCTTAAAAAAGAAAAACACTATATCAGATCTTTGGAACAAAATGAAAACAAGCATAAAAACCCTTTTTTTGGATGCAAAAATGGTTAAACAATTCCAGTAAAGCCTTATGTTCATAATACTCATTATCCAATGAACTGACCAGTCCTCACAGAATCGCCTACATTCCATGAGCTACGTAGAAAGTTCTTCATTCATTTATTTGAGACACATCCCAGGCCTTCGGGTGGGGGAGGGACTGCAAACCCCCTCCTGGTGCCACTTGCACTGTCTCTCAGAAGCCATCAAGCAAGCTCGGGGACTCCAGCTGGGACGCGGAGCTCTGAACTGTTGGGCTAGACGCCTTCTCTCAGTACGAGTTCTGCCATGTCAGAGCAAAACGACATCTGTCCCTGTCCTCGCTTACGAATGCGGAAGGGACGCCCTCCAAAGTCACCAGGCTGGTAACCTCCACGTTCCACTGCAGCCTTGGAAACAGGTAAGACAGAGGACACGCTAAGCAAACAAAAGAAAAAGAAAGAAAGGGCCCGGCGCGGTGGCGCAAGTGGTTAAGTCCTCGCCTAGCACGCCCGGGATCCCATATGGGCGCCGGTTCTAATCCCGGCAGCCCCGCTTCCCTTCCAGCTCCCTGCCTGTGGCCTGGGAAAGCAGTCGAGGACGGCCCAAGGCTTTGGGAACCTGCACCCGCGTGGGAGACCCGGAAGAGGCTCCTGGCTTCGGATCGGCATAGTATCGGCCCGTTGCGCTCACTTGGGGAGTGAATCATCGGACGGAAGATCTTCCTCTCTGTCTCTCCTCTCTGTATATCCGCCTTTCCAATAAAAAATAATAAAAATAAATCTTTAAAAAAAAAAAAAAAGAAAGAAAGAAAGAAAGAAAATCCCTGGAAGTCATTCAGTCCTTCCAATCTCATTACCTACCAGCTGCTCAGGGTAACACACACCTCCCCAGTCAAACGGTACCCGAGCCCGACTCTCCCCCAGAGGCCAACGCGCAGGCGCAGCTGTGACGCTGCCTGCTGGGCGCCTGCAGCCCAGACTGGCGTGGCCGTGGCCCTGCGCGCACTCCAGCTCTCGGACTGAGTTCTGGGCTCCCTTTGGGCTGGCCCGGCCTGACAGGTGGGGGTGAACCAGCAGTTGGAGAATCTCTCTGGCTCTCTCTGCATTTCAAATACAATGAAAATAAAAAATAGCTTGTAGAACAGTATGGAAACACTCTAAGTTACA